CGCCCTCCAGCTAACCTTCGAGGAAAGTGCACGGAGGACAAGATGGGTTCAGAACCGTTCTAGGCATTGTAATGAAAACAGGTCTACTTCCATATACACCTGCCGGGAATCAAACATACATACATCTACGGAGTGTGTTGAGTCGATGCAATGCATATAATTTACACAAATCAAAGATTATTTCCTTAATGCCTAATTACCTCTTCTTACACTATGCATACCTATCAGATGACAAGATGATAAACAAAAACTCATATTAAAACACTCTGTATGTTCTTGGTGTGACGACATTTAGAAGATTTAAAGGAAAATTATTTAATTAATGACATATTTAGCCCACCTTCCCATGTTTCTTAAGTCAATATAAGCTGGCATTACGCTTCAGATTTCATAAGTAAAGGTAAGGTTATGGTTCGTGCGAACATCTGAGATGGGGACAACACTTCTGTCACTATACAGTCATGAAACTGTGTGCAGCAAATGATCGCAGCAAAATATGCAGCATTTGTCAAAGTCTGCGTTCTATAGAATATAAAATAACAACACGGTGATAACGTACATGAGAAGATAATATTAAAATAGATATACAGAAGTCGGGTGTCAAAATATGAACTACTTTCAACTAACTCAGGATAGAGCCCAATGACATAATCTTGTGAACACAATAATGAACCTGCGGGTTGCATAAAAGTCGGGGAATTCCTGACCAGCTAAGCGACTATCAGTTTCTCATGAACTCTCTCCCTTACGCGGTGCTGGGAAAAAAATCGTCTGCTCCCGCTCTACTGCCCGTTGCATCCAACCCACACAGTCTTACATCCTTGCACTAAAACGAAGGCCGCTTCCTTGAAACGGGAGGAGTACTCGTAATCCCACATGAATCATGAAGGTGGGGCCTATGACTTAACAGCCACGTCCACGTGCTTAATGAAGTTACACAATCACTCTTTCGATGCTTTTGGGTCCATCACTTTTACATGAGTTAAAATATTCCAACTTTACGAAACTACGAAAATATTCGCAATACACTGCTGTAGGCATACACTCATCAAGCCGACATAATTTGCCACATAACCTATAAAATATTACAAAACGTTCAGGCAAAAGCAAAATTCCATCTTCTGATTCAAATGTCAAGACTGATTTAAATTTCGGCTGGATTTCTGGTTGCAATGAGGTCTCTCTAACTTGGTTCTGCCAAGTGAATGACGGAGACAGTACCTTGAAATAGGTCATCAGCACCTTCTTCCGAATTCATAACGTTATGCGAGCAAAAAGGAAATAATCTCAGCAGGCCTCTTCTTCCATTTAATAAGAAAAATTCTCACTCACTCACTCATGGAGCTGAGCCCTTCTTGAGAAGCTGCCAATTGTGCAGCTACTCAAGAACTTCATAGCATTTTATGGAACCCGAAGGTTGATAACCTTGTTTGCAAGAACCCTCTGGAGGTCCCTATTCTGAGCCGATCAATCCAATCCATCCCATCCTATCTCTCTGAGATCCATTTTAATATTGTCCACCCACCTACGCCTTGGTCTTCCCAGTGGTCTCCTTTCTTCCAGCTTTCCCACCAATATCCTATATGCATTCCTATTCTACCCCATTCGTGCTATATGCCCTGCCCCTCTCTTCCTCATTGACTTAATCACTCTAATTATACCTGGAGAAGAGTACAAGTTATGAAGCTCCTCATGCAGTTTTCTCCAACCTCCTGTCACTTGATCTCTCTTCGGTCCAAATATTCTCCTCAACACCCTGTTCTCAAACACCCTCAGTCTATGTTTCTCCCTTAAAGTCAGAGACCAAGTTTCACACCCATACTGAACTACAGGTAAAATTATATTTTTGTTTATTCTAATGTTTATGTTTTTAGACAGCAGACGAGAAGACAAAAGGCTCTAGATTTATTGGTAGCAAGCATTACTCGAGTTCAGTCTCCTTTTAGTTCTCTCCTGAATCAGGTGTTGGTTTGTTATAGTCGTTTCCAAATATCTTAACTTCGCCACATTTTCGAAACATCTGTTACCTATGCCATGCGCACATTTCCAAACTTCTACATTTGACAATCACCACATTCTCGTGATAACATCCAAAATTTGGATCATCCATGTTTTTCGATTATTTGTGTGCCTTGCCCCTTTCATTAATATGGATAATCTGTAACTGTAACTGATATGATGCTCATGAAATCAAATACTAAACTAAGTTACTTTACATATTTGGGGAAATTTACAGAAAAAGTATCTGAACCCTAAGAACAAACCATTAGAATAATGAAGATGTTAAGAAGTCTTTTGTGGAGTATTATACTATAATAAATTTAATGCATTTCCTGATGTTGGTGAACTTTTACTCTTGCACATTGTAAAGAACACAAGAGGTTTCAAACTCATACATACACAACACAGAGGACATAAACATGATCTCAATATGCCAAATGGTAACCTCATTAAACATCAGAAAGGAGTGCGACTTATTGGAATCAAGTTATTCAATAAACTTCCAGAAGCTTAAATCACAATAAAAATTATTTATACCAGAATTAAAAACTTTCTCTTATTACATTCTTCCTGTCATCTGATGGAGAATTTACTTCAATTAAAATAATTAAGTAAACTATGGTATTCTGTGTATATGAGCCATATAACATGACCTTTTCTTCATCCTTGGCTTAGTCTATGAAGGATGCGTGGAATGAATGATAACAAATTATAATTCCAATAAAATATGAATATGAAAATGTTAGCTCACAGCGTTTGGTCAGTTCCAACATTGAATTTTGTAATTAACTACAGTAGTTGTGGATTGTTGTGGTCTTTCTAAACCTCATACAATATTTCTTTTAATCCAGACACAAGTGTAGGGCACGTAACTAGATGAAAACGTCTAAATATACAGAAAGAATGTATAATTCATAATCAAGATGATATATATGTATTTTATAATAGCTGTTCTCTACAAAATGCATAGCAGTGGGTGTGAAAATAAAGAATTTGCATTCCCGCCCCAAAATTATGATTCAATTATCGCATAAATTTGCAAATATTGCTCCTTATTATTAAATCCTCCATTACTTCAAATGCCTTCAGCCATGGCCAGGCTTGAACGATAAGCACCAAAAATTTCAAAACTAGCGGCATTATTACGAAGGCTCGGATGACGACACACATGCCGAATTCCAACAACCAGGTGATGACCAACCACAAGTTTCATTACGTAAATGAACCCGGGAAACAATATTTCGGTATCCTATTGGTACAGTAAACGAGATATGTAGGTTTATCAGCAAAATATTTCAGACTCACATTTACTGATGCTCCCCAGTAACCGTCGTCATCCAACACGACGATTTTCTGTCAGTTTACGTATGAACACACACAAAACACACACTTCTTCACTTGTTCATGATAATTCTAGTACTAATCGTTGCTACACTATTTCATACGTTACAGTTCCACCAACTAATAGTATACGATCTGTTCTCGTTATTTACAATATTTTATTGAATTTATATCTCGTTATGAGCATTCAAAACTTTCCTGTTCAACACATACAAGCATAAGCTTTTTTTCGAATTGCCTTCTCGCCTCATCTTTTGTGAAAACATGTGAAAATCTCGTTAAGATCCAGCATCATCTGATTGGTTAACGGTACGCGTATTTCCACAATGTTGGCAGCACTGCATGAATACGTTAACTATTCAGACCTACATAAATTGTAAAGTTCCAAACTAATAACTAACAGTATGAACAGGTTTACTGAAAAATCACCAGAAAAATGTACACACTCGGTCTAAATTTGAAGTGCTCTGAGATATGTAATACAAGAAATTCCATGACGCTTGTTGTAGTAATAATATATCACCCAAGGTGTCAGCACGGATGTTTCACATGCTGCCATCTGTAACAAAGTATGAGAATCATATGTCCTTGCATACCACGGGGCAGGAAGTTTTGTGTAATTGAAGAATACGGAAGATGTGCCAAATTCATTGTCCCAACTCTCAAGGGTCTTTCATATGGTCCACTTTACTTCACTTTTAAGATTGTTATATGTCCAACTCATTAACTCCTCATTGATGTAATCATCCTAGTAATAATTCTTTCAGAGTACAAATTATGAGCATTCCCATCATCCTGTACTCCATCCCCTTGCTACTTTTTCTTCAGAGCTCCTTAGCGCCGTTCTCAAACACCTTCAACCTGGAAAATTACAGACTGCAGACATAACACAACAACGGTCTTACAAACAGAAAAACAAGCGACTGCATTAAACATCTGATGTAAAGGATACAGATCGAAACAAGTGGATGTCATCCCTTGTGAGGTGTAATAAGAATTTTACAAAATTTGAGTGAAATTATAATATAAAATTTTAGTAGATTTTATGGGTTTAAATTAAGTGAACTACAGCATGTGCTATTTTAGCGTATACAAAGTGACTATGAGTATGACATTTTAAATCATGAAGCACACAGTCGCACATGCAACAAATGGACAACATTAGTACAGTGCTACAGTTTCAGCATAGTAAGACACCTGAAGATGGTCATTTAGGGCCAAAAAATGTTGTGTTGAATGTAAGAGTGTAAGAAAGAACAATGTGTTGCATTGTTGACAGACAGTGTAGTACAATAAATGGTGTTACATATATTACTGCAACAGGATGCCTATATACAGGTTCACAAATACAATATCTAACACAAAGATTATTAAATCTGAGATTATAAATATTAAATAAAATGACTTAACACACTGAGTTCAGGGGGTTATCTTATCTCTTTGTATCCAGGGGCATTGATGAAATGGATATTAATGTATATTGTGCCAACAGCCGCAGCAGAATCCAGAAAATACTGACTGCCATTGAGATTATAAGCTGAGGACCACTGGTCACACATACCTGTATATCATGACTTCTTGCTGTGTACTCCATGAAATTAATAAGATTAACACTCCAAGGAAGTTTATTAAAATTGTTACAAAAACAGTAATACTCATTTATCTTTAAAAAATTATATTTAAGATTTATGTACACCTTCCAAGTAAAACAATTCATACAGCACTCTCTTCACCTGTATACCAAAACCTCTAAACAGAAAATATTTACAAACTAATACAGTTTAATGATTTTTGGAAGTGCAAAAGATTAACCTGCATCCATACACAAACACACTCATCATTCATTCAACAGCTCTCATGAGAGACATCAACTCTCAATCTGATGCTAACTAAAATCTTGCTACTCTATTCACAGTTGACCAATTTCTCATCAGAGCTGCACAAAAGTACACAAATGGTGCAAATATGGCTTCATAATTTGTCCCTTCTGAATAGTCATACTGACAGAACACCCAAAATGCACCTTTATTATATTTCACTGGCGAGAATTTAAAAAAAAATTGTCCTTTAAAGTATTATTATACACTTCAAATGTCTCAGTTCATTTTCATCAACTGCTGAGTTCAAGATTTTCCTCCAAAGCCCATGAGATTTCCTAGACCACCTGCCCCTTGCTGCAACTGCCTCATCATGTTTTGTAGCCCAGACACTCCACCTATAAACAGAGACAAGATACAATTTCAGATTGTTCACTGATTCCTGAAGTAATGTAACATATTCTTTGACATTGCTTGAAATTCTAAATTGTGAGGATATAAAATAATAAAATCCAAGGACCTAAATTATTAAGTTTAATCGGGATTCTTTATATTTCACATTTAAATTGCTCCTTGAAGGAAACCAACATTTTAAAAAACATGATCACTTTCTGCTGCACTTATTTCCTTTCTCTTATTACTTTGGTATGAAAATTATTCTATTGCTGTGGGCTGTTTGTCTCATTTTCTTCCTTATGGTTAAAAACCTGCTGTGCCAGTAGTTCACAGCGTAACTATATGAAATAATGGGCAATAAAATGTCAGGATTAAGTGTTCATCATTGGAGTACTAAGAATATAATTACCAAAAAAAAAAAAAAAATCAGATATTTTGACAAAACAAAATGGACTAGCTTTACACCTCAAATTATTCCAGACACTTTCTGGTCTCATTAAAACTATTTAACCTTTAAGAGCCTAATGTCACGGTATGGCATCATTTAAAGTATAGCCGTGTGGCAGTGCATCACCGTATGGGTACCCGCAGTCCATGCGTGCGCACAGTGTCTTAAAATCTTATTTTAAGATAGAAATTTTTGTTCTACTTATATTATTTTTGGGCATGCGCTTTATAAGTATACAGTCTTCCCTCCTGCGTCATCTAACTGAATGCAGAGTCCGACGTCGCAATTCATGCACTTTGCCCGGATGTAACACACGATATCTCAGTCTCGTATTACAGGAAGTCGGCCAGTGATGTCCAGTGGCCTACTCTAATCGTAACGCTTATAAAAAATATAAATTTCAACTATCCACTATGGCATCATTTCTCATGGAAGAAGCTGAAACTGAGAGGCAGCTGATAACGGTACACGATTCTGAAATTGTTGAGGAAGCAAGGGGCTAGGCTTGAACGTTAGGCATGGCGTCACTGTTCTGAGAACAGTATCTTTGTGTGGCAGTCCGAGATATCAACAAAGTTACTGAAGGACAAAGTAGCCACACTCCTTCATACAGAAAGGTTCTGATGTGACCACTCGAGAATGTGCAATACAAACAAACTCCCTCTCCTTTTGCCAGATAAGATACAGCGCCAGTAAGAAGGGTGTTAGCAGCAAGCATCTATACTGCAGAAAGGTTTGGTGCAGTCACTTTATGTATATTTGTGGACAGATGCTAGAAATTGGGGAAATTGCCATTATCGGAATTTAAAAAACCCATCTCTTAAAGGTTAAAATGGTCAACGAATAACAATATTCTTCACCTGAAAAGAAATTAAACAAATACGGAAACATGTATCACCAACACAATATATAAATTCTGTGTTGAAAGAATGAACTTGGACATGACCATATAAAAGACAGAATGTGAATGAATTTATACTGTTTTTTATTTTACAACATGTTTCATCCATTTTATGAATATCAAGTAAAACACACATAATATGGCGCTAAAATAAATATTACTATGACACTGAATGTATTTTCTATTATCTACAATATACCTACTAGTCAACAAAGACAAAGAACACACATACCCATTTGCTGCAGTATTCTTGGGTCCATCATTTTTGATATCTGTTGATTGAGTTTCAGTATTTGAGCCTGGTTTACATTTTTCGCCATGTCTCCGCCTTTGAACAGTCCTTTAATCCCACCCATTTTCTTCACCACTCCAGCAAACTTCGTATACTGTGAAATTAGATCTTTCACTTCCTTCTCTGTCACACCAGCACCTTGGGCCACTCGGACAATACGCCCAGACTGTTTTGTGAATAATTTTGCTCCATCCCTACTGTCTAGCTCTGTATTGAACACACAAACAAGAGCTATACAAAATATTGCACATTCTTCATAATTTTATCTAATACCAAAATCAGTGTTTAGTACCAAACCTTTTCTGAATAAATATGCTTAAGATGACCAGCTAAAGGGCATCTGAAATTAACAGAGCTGATAAAAATACTGAAGAAGTTCATGTCATTATCTATAAGATAGTTCTCTACATAGTTTTTAAGGATTTGAAATGTTCAAAGACAGCTACCTTGACTAATGTTTAGTTTGTAACATAAAAACAGATACCCCTTAAAATGACACTCCTAAAAAAAATTAATCAAATTGTGTAAGTTTTTCTACACCTGACAGACATAGGAGTTCTAAATGCACATACGTAGTGTGTTCAAAAAGTATCGAACCTTTGGTCGGCAGAAATACATTTATTGATTTGGAGGTACAAAACCCTAATCCCCTTCAAAGTTGTCTCCTTGGTAATGCACATACTTCTCCCAGCGCTTCTGCCATTGTTAGAAACACTTCTGGAACGCGTCTTTTGGAATGGTGATCAGCCGGGCCGTCGCATTCCGCATGATGTCTTCTCTCGACTCAAATCGGGTTCCTCTCAGCGGCATTTTCAGCTTGGGAAATAGCCAAAAGTAATACGGGGCCATGTCAGGGGAGTAGGAAGCCTGACGAACCACAGGGATGTTGTGTTTGGCGATGAAAGTCTGAATCACGTGCAGTTTCGGTACGAATTTCAGGGACACTCTCCTCATGCCCAAATCCTCGGTCAAAATTGAATGTACCGATCCAATGCTTACCCCTATCTTGTTCGCAAGTTCTCGGACCGTGATACAAGGGTCCTCCATGACCAAAGTCCGCACTTGCTCAATGACATTCTCATTTTGGCTTGTTGAGGGTCTGCCTGAATGCGGTTCGCTGTCCACTGATGTGCGGCAATCTTTGAAACGGTTGTACCACTCATTTATCCATGAGTTGCTCATGGCATCATCCCTGAAATCCTGTTGAATCTTGTGAATGGTTTCCACTTGGGTATCGCCAAGCTTTTGGCAAAATTTGATGCAATATCGCTGCTCATTTTGTTCCGTCATTTTACACCTTACTGGAATCCAACAAGCGCTCACTACACGTCCTCACTCATAGGCCGACTGCCAGCGACTGCTGGCGCATAAGGCTGACAACCTTACCGCCATCTTTGAGCCGACTGTCTAGATAATGTGGGACCCTCAACATCTCACAACCCTATGGGCCTTCACGGCCTGGTACAAGGATAGCTTTACTTTTTTTTTTAAGTATTAAATATTATATTTCTGAATAATAAATAGTGGGAGGAAAAGGACCAACTAAACAAAAGGTTTGCTAATATATATAAAATATTTTACTACAGAAGATATCAATTTAAACATACAATTCCAAAAGAATTTTTGCCCCCTTCCCCTTCAGGTTACTTTTGTCTGAAAGTCATATGGAACTCTCAAACAATAAACCTGGTCAAAATACACAACCAACCCCATTCTAGCTACTTGAAATTAATAGTTTCCTATTGTATTTGACACCAACTGAAGCGGTCAAGCAACAAATCATATACATACACTCACCCCCATCATTCATACTGTCCATTATTGTCATAAGTCGTTTCAGCCTTGCCATCGATTCTTGTTCACTACCTTTAGACAGGAAATCCTGACTGAAGCCTGGGATCATGCCCTGTTGAAGACAACTGCAGATTTAGTAAACAAAGACACATAATTTAATACCATAATACCATTAAACCGAAAGAGAAGTAACATGTTAGTTTTCATATTTTAGGCACCAAGATCTTGTCGCTGCAACTGAAAACACCATAGGTGCTACAACAAAATGCTCTCACATCATCTATAGTAAACTCAAAGTTATTTGGTATCCAAGCATCCATAACCAGTGAAACTTTCAGAGGAAACTTATGAAGTGACATTTCTGTCTTGACATATGAAGGACTGCATTTAACTCAATCAAATGCACATGCCTACTTTCAGTATAGCGACTAGCTATGGGCTGGATGACCAAAGGGTCGGAGTTCGAGTCCCGGTACAGTCAAGAATGCCTCTGGGGCCCATCCAGCCTCCTATCCAATGGGTACCAGGGACTCATTCCCTGGGGGTAAAGTGGCCAGGGTCTGAAGCTCACCACACACCTCCAACTAGTGCCAAGGTCAAGAAAATGTTGATCTATACATCCACTCCTCCTTATGCCTTCATGGTGTAGTGCTTAATTAGTTAGGCACAGGGACAAATATGCCTATATACCTATATGTGAATTACAGAAATAGATTCATGATACAGTGCCTGGATGTTAATGGAATAGATTTATACTAATTAAAAAAATACAATAATAGATTACCATAATCTGGGAGAAGGGTCCCATCTTCATAATATTTTGGAACTGTTCGTACATATCCCGAAGTGTGAACTGTCCATGTTTGATCTTCTCTATTAATTCCTCATTGTCATCCAGCTTCAGTTCATTCACCTTATCAATCAGCCCCTCAATGTCACCCATTCCAAGCAGCTTGCTTACAAATGGCTTTGTCTTGAACGGCTCAAAATCATCTATGTGTTCCCCTGTCCCAATGAAAATTATGGGACTCTGTGTAGCTGCAACACTTAATACCAATAATCCTTCTTATTATGTATCATTCTTAAAATAATATTATCACACAACTGCCAAAGAAGCCAACCACACATTTCTCTTCTAATACAATGCACTGCAGTAAGAACATAAGTTCATTCAGTACAAGAAACAAATGAAACTATTCAGCAAATGGGAAGATGTAAATGAAACTAACAAAGTACAAAAATAATTACATCATAGTGTTTGGAAACAAATTATAAGTTTGCCTGACTTTTCTATCATGCTGATACTTAACACTTTGCAGACTGACAATTTAAATACAGTAGAACTTGGTTATAACGTCATCAAAGGGACCTAAAAATAGTGTCGTTATAAACGAATGTCGTAACCGAAATGGGCACTTGCACAGTAGCCTTATGTTAGTCACGTAAAAATCTACCAAAAACCGAGTTAAAATGTTGCATTTTTTAGTGAAATACGTAGTTAAGTACAGACTAACGTAACATTAACGTGGAATTGCCCAAATGTGTAATATCAAAGACATATTACAGCGCTTTTCACTGACAATACACACAATATTTCACGAATCACTTTAACTTTCCCTTCAATGCTTAAAACTTTCCTTTTCATTGCCATGTTTTCGCTACTGCACTTCTCTGGGTTTAGGCAGGAACACTATAGGGTAAGTAGACAATGTGAGGTCCTGTTAGACGAGATTCTAGGAAAGGAATGCAGTTAACAACCTGCCGCGTCCTCTTTCACTATTCACGCAGTCCCACCCCACACCCTTGTTTTCGCATAAAACCCACGCTCCTCTTGCAGCCCGCGGTCGTATTCTTCCAGGACAGTCACGTCAGCAAGTAGAGAAAGTGAGGGTGGGCAGACACATCGAACTTTCCCACGATATCAGAGAAATTCAGGAATGAAAATGACGTTACATACGAGGTTGATGCATTTGTGCATGTCGTACTAAGCAAGGTATAAAAACAGTTGCTTTATGAGGAATTAGTTCATACCATTGAATATTTGACGCAATAGACAAGGTGTCGCAGAAACCGATGTTGCTATAACCAAGTTTTACTGTATTTAAATCACCCTGGGGACTGGCATTTTTTAACCCACTACCGTAACTTGTCCACTGTTCACTTTAAAAATTAATATAAAATATCCTAATTAATTTTATGAACTAAAATTTTTGGAGAACACTTACCAATGCTTCTAGAAGTGCTTAAGAGTGTCATATTTCTGGAAACATTCCCCTTCTACCTGCACTTTCATCGGAGCTACTTTCACTTATATTGTCTGTAGCCACAATTGTTTGTTGTCCTCTGCCTCTGCCACTGCCACTGTCAAATCACTATCACTACATGTCTCAGAAGGAATGTCAAATAGCTCACATCAGATAGCACGTCAGAGAACAAGCCAGATATTGCTTTGTTTTCAACCGCTTCTATCCTTGACTCATTGCCCAACTAACTTCCTGCCTGGTACATAAGAGCTTGAAGGGTCAAAGATAATTTTTCTTTTGAAGGGGTACCCAAACAGCGAGATCAAGTTACTGCCTACTAAGGAAACATTCTGGAATAATATTACGCAGTAGTCATTTTATTTGGGTGGCACCAGAGAAAGGTATAATTTGTTACACTCTAACGTGTCCTAAAGTCATAAAAACATGCCACCGGTCCGCCATGTTTAAAAGCGCTGGGCATAAAAATATGCCACCAGTCCGCAAAGTGTTAATATAAAATTGTTTGGGTCAGAGATTTTGTGTGGACTGGTGTGAAAACCTTTATGCACATGGAGGTTAGTAGTGTTGCTCCACTCGTGCAACTACACAAAGACAGTGAAACAAGGGACATGTAATGGGCTCACCTGTTCAGTACTGAACAGTCAAAAGATCCACATACAATGTGGTAAGTAATTCACTTACAATTCACTGGCTGTGCCTTCTGTTACTTACTTACTCATGGAGCTGAGGCCTTCTTGAGGAGCCGCCAAACTGCAGCTACTCATGGATTTCCTAGCATTTTATGGAACCCAAAGATTCATTACTATGGTCACAAGAGCCCTCCACTGGTCCCTATCCTGAGCCAATCAATCCAATCCAATCCATACCATCCCATTCTATCTCTCTAAGATCCATTTTAATACTGTCCACCCACCTACGTCTTGGTCTTCCCAATGGTCTCTTTCCTTCTGACTTTCCCACCAATATCCTATTTGCATTCCTTTTCTCCCCCATTCGTGTTACATGTCCTGCCCATCTCATCCTCCTTGACTTGATCATTGTAACTATAACTGGAGAAGAGTAGAAGTTATGAAGCTCCTCATTATGCAGTTTTTGCATGTATTAATAAATAGCATTACTTATATTGTTTGCCAGAAATGCTATTGTACGGTGCTGTAAAATACAAGACTGTATTCTGAGAAATGGTAGCTTTTATTTAATAAAGGAATCAGTGTCTACCAGAGGATTAACGTAAGTTCTGGTTCTAGCAATCCAGGCACACATACTTCATTGGTTGTTCAAAGAATGTGTGATTCTCTAGAATTATATGTGTCTACCAAGATTGGTTATTAAATATATGCAATGGACCACCATTTACTTTGCTTTGACTTAACATTTCCCTCATTTAATGTTCAATTTAAATGATCCCAAGTCAATAATATCAGTGCTAAATGACTCCCATTTCAGATTTTCCTGTTTAATCTTCAAATCCACTGGTCTAAGAAGAAACCTTAAACAGTGGTTTTACTGTAACTGGTTATCAGGGCCAATCCTAATCACAAAGTAATACTAAACAGCAGTATTACATCTTACAGGACGTACGCGTTCCATACGGTAAATTGTATGTTATGACTGCAAGACTATATCCAGCAACAATTCAGGTTGAACTATCAAAATACTTAATGAAATTAATCCTGAGAGCATCAATATTAATTATACCAACAGTCAAAGTCAGTTTTAATACACTATCCTCTCATTTATGCATATCTCTGGATCTGTAGGCAGGAACTCTGACCACTAGACCACAGAGGCAGTCTACAAAATTACATATGAAAAAAGAAAATCCTTAATAAAACAATCCACTCTCAGAGCACATTCATTTTTCACTTTTGACTTAGGTCTGGCAAATTGCTGCTGGCCCTTGCCAGTACAGCCATTCTTGGTTTTGGGTCCCATGGGACTCACAACCAAATTTTTGTGTCTTGTTGGGAGTCATGCAACTACCTTCTTTCATTATTGCCAGATGCTAGAATTACTGCATGAAGAAACACTGAAAATTTCAACTGTAAATTTAAAGTTTACAAAGCATCAGCACAATACGTACGCACTAAGGGCTCCTCCACCCTTTGCATGACCATCCAATTTTGTTACAATGACAGAACCTACATCTACTTTCTCCTTGAAAGCTCTAGCCTGAGCTTCACAGGCTTGACCAATAGTTGCATCCATCACAAAGATAATATTATCTGGTCTCTGAAACAGAAATATATAGAAAGTTGGGGCTGACGCAATGATAATGTTTCTCTGTCAGTGAACCTTGGCACACTTCAGGCCAGTCTACATATTCTAGTTAAATTCCACTGGAAACATTACTATTTTAAAACTCTGACCATTTTAGATTAGGTTCTATATTATTACTTTTCTTCATTTCTCCTTTCATGACATTTAACGGTGTAGCTGGATGAGTGGTAAGGAAGAGGACACAAGAGTTCTGGGGTGTTGATATAACTCTCAGAAATGGCAAAGTTGAGCAGTTTTACAAAATTTTAGATCTTTGTAAGTATATCTGAGAAATTATTTATTTCATATGACCCTGTGCATAATTTTAGATTTTGAATATTCGACATAGGTGTCTACTGAGTACATACTTGGTCGCGCCATAGCTCAAACAGTTAGTTGCTGGCTTCACACTGCGGCAGCCTGGGTTCGATCCCAGGTCTGGTCAAGTGGGATTTGTGGTGGACAAAGTGGCACTGGGGCAGATTTTCTCTGAGTACTTCAGTTTCCCCTGCCAATATTTATTCCACCAATTGCTCCATAATCACCCTCACCTATCATCTGGGGCTGGTACAATAGGCCAGAAGCGGCAGCAGTAAAAGGGACTTAGTCCCACCCCACTAGCAATAAATAAAAGTAGTACATACTTACAATAGCATTAGAAACCTGTAACATTTCTTCAAATAGTGATTCTTCCTGTTTATGTCTACCACTAGTGTCAACAATGATAATTTCAAATCCTTCCTTCTTGAACATGTCAACACCATCTTGTGCAATGACCACAGGATCCGCTTCAGTGTAGCTGAAAATTATAAAAATTAACATCAACATATATTTTAAAATATCATGACACAGATCACCAGAATTTCAAATTTTAAAGGATTCTACAGTAAAACCAAATATTATACCCTCCCATTATAATAAAAGCAACATAAATATGGGGATATCAGACATAGAGAGTACCCAGGAACTTTAACTGAAGTGCAAAAACACATCTGTTCCTGAAAATACATTCATCCAAAAAGTGCTTCTATAGGGTTTAGGTTAGCTGTGATCCAACCTACTCATTGTACAGTTTTGTCCAACCAGTTATAACAAAACAATCCAAGAACATTTAACTTCACTGCGATCCTTTCAGGTATAGGAGAATTTCTTAATAATCATTTCATTTTGTGTTAAATTTTTGCCTTTCTGGCTAGAATGCTCACATTTTCGGTTCATTTGTGACTACCTAGGGCTCATTTGTATGATGCTTGTCAAAATAATTTTTGTTTGATAGTTTGTTAGATTAAAAGGTCACAAATTACTTCACTCTTTTTCAGAATGTATAACTGTTACACCACAGAATCTTACATAACAGTGTTTTCAGAAAGACGCATAAAAGAATACAGGCAGGGACACTGCCATCTCTCAACTGACTCATACACATAATCCAACTGCCTTCTGCTCTCCTTCCTCTCTTTCTCAAGCAAACTACAGTACAGGCATTCACTTCCAGTTCTTGATCACACTCTACATATTCTATATATAACATATTAGTTTAAATGCCTGAAGGAATAATTAATACAGATGGGGCAATAATATTAAAATGAATCTTAAATAAAGAGGATGTCAAGGTATGCTTAGGTATGAGTCAATAAGAGAGATTCCAGACATCACCTGGCACACCAACATCTCATAATATTCTGATATAACAGTGACAGAGAACAGAAATATTTAAAGCAAGAAAATAATCCAAAAAATATTTCCTGGGACTGCAAAAATCAACATTTGCAATTCTGGAGACAAATATGTCCATGAACCCCAAAACCTAGGAAAGCAGAAACAAGATTCAGCACTCAATTACTAGCTGTCAGGTGTCCAGTGTCATTAATTCTTCCTAAACATGAAAGTTATTTTTTATGAAAACATTCACACCCTCACTCACTCATTGAGCTGAGCCCTTCCTGAGAAGCCACTAATTGTGCAGCTACTCAAGAACTTCCCAGCATTATGTGGAACCTGAAGGTTCATTACCATGTTCACAAGAGCCCTCTGCTGGTCCCTATCCTGAGCCAGATCAATCAGTCCATACTACTCCATCCTATCTCTCTAAGATCCATATTAATATTAAGAAAGTAGTCTTCTGGGATGTGGCACCGTGTAGATGTGGTGTTAACCGACGTTTTGGAGGAACGTATCACCTCCATCTTCAGGGTAGAAGGAAAAATAAGAAAATCCGCAAGCAAAGAGACCGTGAGAACCTACCCTGAAGATGGAGGCGATATGTTCCTCCGAAACGTCGGTTAATACCTCATCTACACGGTGCCACATCCCAGAAGGCTGCTTTCTTCATAGTCACTGCCGTGAAAACCTCAAATCTTACATATTAATATTATCCACCCATCTAAGTCTTAAGTCTTCCATATATTTACATTACAGCTAAATATGTTGCAAATAACAGTATGCATAGAAAATTAAGTTAATGACATTAAAACTGAGAAGCGCTGAGAGTCGAAGGAATTAAAGAAGTGAGAGTAACAATATTTGGTGGTGCAAGCTGGTCTGAGGCTCTGTGAGCAGAATGGTGCACAGGAAATGTTTCCTATGTACATCAAACAACAGTGTCAAGAAATGTGTAGTGTAAATTTGCATTCAGCAATGATTTACTACGCTTGTATCTTTTAAAACTAATGATGATGATATGAAACACGCATATGAAAACAGGACAAAGGAAGTGAGAAATGAAAGAAACAGCAGACCAAGTACTGTCCAAGTCTGTTATACACAATTACATGGTAACCAGTTAGACACATCACCAAAATCAAATTCTAGAGTTCCTGAGTTATAAGTAAATTTGTAAAAGATTACATATAAATATTTTTAAATGATGGATGAGGCAATGCACAACTCAAACCATGTACTGGAAAATTCAAGGACAGAAAGATGTTCCATCAAAGCAGACAACTTTTACTAACTGTAACACATGCTTAGCAGAAAAAATACTGGTGCTGGTAATACACAACACATGATGAACATAATCTCAAGGTGGTGAAGCAATGTAGCTACAATGGATGTTACATATACTGCAGCGTGTAGACATCAAAGGTAGTGAAAATGTGAGCTGAAGAATGAACATGTGGACCATGGACTAGAAATATCTACCTCCTACCTCAAGCTCCTGGTCTCAGATTCTTTTTTTTTTTCACATGGCAAGCTGAGAAATCTTTTGTACAATGAAAAGTGTATATTGCAAATCAAACATCTCAGATTACCCAATTCCATGGAGCAAAGTCCTTCTTCAGAAGCTATCAGTCACTCAGCTGTCATGAAAGTCTCTGTCTCTTCAAGAACTCAAAGGTCCACAAGATCTCAAAATTGGACCCCATCTAGAGCCATATGCATCTAGCCCACTCCTATACCCAGTTCCATTTAGATTCGTTTGAATGTTACTCTATTCCACTATTCTACTCATTGGTCTCCCAAGTGGTCCCTTCCTTTCAGGCTTTCTCACTAAAATTCTGTATGAAACCCAACTGTCCCAACATGAAATACGTACACATAAAAAGAAAATCCCACAGGAGTTTGTACAACCTACAAAAAATTCAGTGTCCAACAAGAGACGGTGAAGTATCTTTGCTCCTTCTTGAAGTTCTATAGTGTTTCAAGAAGTGCAATACTCTCACAAATTTCTAATAAAAAAATAAAAAAAAAGGTTATGCTTTGTCAATATAAAATAATATTGCAGCAGTTTGCCTGAAATCATTCTTCTGCTACAAGTTCATAAAAGGTGTTTCCTTTTTCTATTTCAATGCTATGTAAAGGTAATTATGCACAGAAACCTGTATTCAGTAAAAGACAATTTATGCGATATGAGATCTACATGCAGAAATGTACAACATCTATGAAACTCTATGAAACGTAAGTAGTTACTATAGGATTCTGACAATGGTGTATAACACACTGATATATTGGTTTTTTGGACTTTATCCATCATCCTGGTTTTTAAGATAACTAATAAAAACACGTTTCAGAAACTGGATCTGTTTCCATCCTCAGGTGAAGGAAAACACCTATTCTGTTGGGTCCGTTAGAAAGAGCTAGCCTCAATCACTGGACAAACCGATGTCACAAAACATGAAGATTGAGGCTAGCTCTTTCTAACGGACCCAACAGAATAGGTGTTTTCCTTCACTTGAGGACGGAAACAGATCCAGTTTCCAAAACGTCGTGTTTTTATTAGTTATCTTAAAAACCAGGACGATAGATAAAGTCCAAAAAACCAATATATCAGTCTATGAAATGTAGTTTACAAAAATTAAAAGATAAGAAAGGACAGCATACAAGTCTGACAATGAACATAGTAATACAACAATTTACATCAGCATAAGGGTAACAGCAGACTTAGAGGCTTACTTATGTTAACATTTTTGTTTTTATTTCTGTATTTTAATGTAATTCTAATTTCTAGCTTCTATCTATAATTTTTAAATGAACATGTTTCTCAACACCAGTCAAAACAACACCCAAAGTAATATGAAGTTGTCCCTATGTCTAGGCTCAATACCATGAAAATAAATTAAATGTAAAGGAGAGTCCAACACAGTCTTAACATTTGAACTAGGAGATGGTGAGCTTCAAAATCTATCCACAATACCTCTAAGATAAAAGAGTCCCCAATTCCCATGGGACAGGAGGCTAGATGGGCCCCAGGACCATACTGGGTGTAATGGCAGAGAATACTTCTTGCTCCTGCCCAAAATCTAATCCTATTCATCTGGACTCATAAGAGCTATTTGTCTGATCACACAGTGTGCCATTTAAAGGACACATAGAACTAAGAAATTCTGTAACAACATTATTTAAACAAACCTCACAGCACTCTAAACTACTAACATGCACACTCCTGAAAAAGTTTTCAGATTACATATATTACATGAATAACTAATTCACAAGGATGTGGAGGGAAGTTCTATCCTGCAAGGGATGAGGAAAACCATGAGAAACCTCTGAGTAGATGATCTCTGGGCTAATATTTGAACCTGGGACCTCCAAAATACAAACCAGAAGTGCTAATCCCATGACCATGGGATTCAGCCTTGTCTTTTAAGGATATGTTACTGACATCAACTGACGGAACCATGGGTGAATCTGCCGGCAGTTCTACTTAATGTTTGCTGTTCACTGCTAAATTTCAAAAGATCTTGTTATAACACTGTCTTGCAGTAAAGACTGACTAACAGTAAAGAAATAATGAACAAAATATATGAACTGAATATACTTCTTAGACAACCTTCTGCAATATATCAAAGTCCAAGTGCATTCCATCTTCAAGCAAATGAACAAAATACTGAAAGAGTGCTTAAAGTAAAGTATCACCTCTTCCTGATTATACAAATTCTTCTCAGCCATAACATTCACCACAATATTGTCACAATTTTAGAGTGACTACAGACAGGGTTTGGATTGGTAACTGGATTTACTGAACAGTTACAGATTGTAATCACAAGTAACTATAGTACTATCACTATTCATACACTTCAATTTACTACAGCACATACTAAGTCTTCTCAGTCCAACAGTTTTCTGGTAATGGCTTCCAACATTGAATGTTCTCCTCCTTGTAGGTTCCCAAACTATCCCTGTGCCTCAGCTACAGCTTCTAAGAGCAAGAGCTCACAAGGACTGAACCACAGCAGTCCTCTTAACTCACTCGCTCACCAGCCCACTCCACTCCACTCCATTGACTGACTCCCAGGCTGGCAGCCATCTTGTACCAACCTCCTACTGTTGTCTCAAACCTCCCTCCTAATGGCAGCTGGCTGTATGGCTGCATATTTTGTAGGTGTTGCCTAGCAACAGATCTACATGCCACAATATTATTACTAGTCTCTAACTAACCCACTTCATAGGGCAAAAAGTGCCAGTGGACCCTATCATAAGCTAGATAAATCTAGTTCAAATTCTCAAGTCCTATTACTTTATGGTTCATTTTAATATTATCTTACCATCCATACCTAGGTTTTCCAAGTGGTTTCATCCCTTCAGATTTTGTGACTAAAATTTTATACACATTTCCTATCCCTCATGAATGCTACATGTCCAACCAATTTCAACCACCTTGATATCACCACCATAAGAACATTTAGTGAAGAGCACAAATTATGAAATTCTAAGGAAACAAAACCCGTTAAGAACATGATGTTTAAATATTCATGATCAAGCAGTAAAGATACATAAAAAGAAAGCGCAATTAACTGTACCTTCCATAGAATGGAATTCTGGCCTTGGTGGCATTTTGCTTCAACTGATCATAGGCACCTGCCCGAAATGTATCCGCACATACAAGACAAGCCTTCCAGTTCTTTTTGAGGTAATGGTATGCCAATTTAGTACATGTGGTTGTTTTACCAGAGCCTTGGAGGCCCACAAACATGATGATATTTGGCTTTCCCTTCACTGGTTGATGAGCTTTTACACCTGGATCCACAAGCTGAAAACAAATTTACTCACTTCAATGTTCAAATAAATAATGTTTGTGAAGGAGCTCCTGAGGTTTGAAACCTGTAACCTATACACCACAGACCAATGCAGATAACACTAAATGAGAAAAGATGCGTCTTTCTGTGCTGAGCAGTGCAGTGTATATGGATTAATTAATTAAAGAAGGAAACACATCTGAAGAACTTAAAAAATACTCTAACCAGTACAAAAAATATATACAACAAAATTATCGGTGAGGTTAAAAAATTAAGCAACAACATGTGAATACGATCATCCAGGAACAAATCAAAAGCCATGTGGGATTTAAGTTACGAGTTAGCCAGGCAGTCAACCTTTCAGTTGTAGTCTAGCATTTGCAGTCTAGTATTTGTGATACTGCCGATGGCAGTAATTGTCAGATTGTAATTTGTGTGATTGAAAGAGCGAATGTGAAATAAAATTCGCTATATCAAATATGGAGTGAAATTATTTGTCGCATTATACACCAACACGTGACAATTTGGTGTCAGAAGTGGGATTAGACTTACACACATGACGAACAAGATTTGAACTCAAGACACGTTACATTATAATCACCATCTTACCAATGTGCCATGTTGCCATTATGAATTTCTTTCATTCACACTTAAACCTATGCAGCACTGCATAGGACTGGCAAACATGAAAAGTTGTGAAATCCAGTTTTCCTGTCCGCATTGTTCTCTGTTTACATCAATAAAAATTAGGTTACCAAACCCCAGAGTTCTTTCTTGGATCCTGCAGATGTTTTGAACCCAAATTAAAATTCTGTACACATGGATACAATCATGTCTGTGTTCTCAGTCCAATATGCAATAAACATCAGAAAGAGTAATGAGGTTCCATACATCATTTATGGCTTATTTAACAATTCTGTCAGTAACCAAGGTGAATGGTAGAATTTTTAGTTAATGATGATTGAGAGGATGTGGAATCCTTCCGGCCGCACTAGGTCCTGGGGTTTACTCAGCCTCTAACAGAAATGAGTACCAGGAATTAATTAAATAATTTTCCTGGGGAGTGAAGCGCGGCCGGCACGTAAGGCTCACAACCTTACCGCCATCTATGAGCCGATTGTCAAGGTAATGTGGGACCCTTAACGTCTCACAACACTATGGGCCTTCACGGCCAGTTACAGGGATAGCTTTACTTTTTTACTTACTATCCCAGCATTTGCCTGGGAGGGACTGAGAAAATCCACAAAGACTTCAGTCATTTTATTTATTCAACTTCCATAAATCCTGCCGAGAGTACATTCTCATGCGGCTGTGGAGATCGTCCTTGTTACAGTCACAACTAAAGATTACAGTTGTCATCCAATAGCATGCACATTTGTATAAAATACTGATAAACATGTACAATATAATAAATAAGTTAAATTTAGTAGTAAAAGTAATGGCAAACCTTATACAATTTGTACAGTTTTATGCAAGTCTATTAATTAAAAATTCAATAGTTAAAACATAATGTCATTAATGAGTCTTGCATAACATACATCAATTATATACTAAATTGAAACAAAGACTAGTATACAGTAATATAAAAATTGTGTATATCTAAAATAAGCATTTAAAAACCAGAAAACAGACTGACAACCTTGTCTTCCTTTAATTGTAAAGTAAGACAACTACTCGCACCTTAAAAAGATTTATAACCAAAATATTCCTGTAAAGAATAAAAAGAATGTAACTATAAAAATTGTTTTAATTGTACCTCAAAACTCTTAGTGTCATTCGATATATCCTTAATATATTGTGGTAGATTATTATAGACCTTTGTTCCTAAACAGTAAACTCCCTTTTGGTATTTACTCAAATTTACAAGAGGCTGATGTAGATTATTTTGCTGTCTGGTATTTATTCTATGAATCTCTGAATTTACTATGAATTTGTTTCTGTTTTTTATCACAAAGAGCATAAGAGATAGTATATACTGATATATATACTATATATATCAGTATATACTATATACTGATAGTATATGCACAAACCCCTCCTTCTGCGTCCCAACATAATTCTAATTATATTCTTTTGCATTCTAAAACTTTTTATACTTTGGGGTGAGTTACCTCAAAAGGGTAAACCATAATTTATAATAGAATTAAAATAAGAGTGATAAACCATTTTTAAGGTATTTATGGACATGTATGGTTTAAGCGATCTTATTATGTAGCAGATGCACTTAGTTGTGAACTAATATACTCAATGTGGTATTTCCAGCTCATTGTGTCATCAATGAATATTCCAAGAAATTTAATATTGGATATAGACACAATTTGTTTTTTATCATATACAATTTTTATTTCAGATTTAGGATTTTTATTTCTAGCTGTAAATTGAATGTAGTGGGTTTTGTTAAAATTTATAGAAAGTTTGTTTACTTTGAACCATTCATTTATACTATGAAAAGCATTATTTATATTTACACAGAGATCATCATAGTTTGAACTTTTAACTAACAAACTAGTGTCATCTGCAAATAATATAGGTACAGTTTTATCGTTTATAGTTTTGGGTAAATCGTTTATATAAATGAGAAATAACAATGGACCCAGAATTGAACCTTGCGGGACACCATGCCTAATTTTGCCCCATGTCAAAAATTCATTGAGATTAAGATGTATATTTGTAATTAAAACCCTTTGATATCTATTTCTGAAATAAGATTCAAGCCATAGTTTAGCTTTACCCTTTATCTCATAGAACTCCAATTTCGACAACAGAACCTCATGATTAAAACAATCGAAGGCCTTTTCCAGGTCACAAAAAATGCCTCCTATTAAGTTTTTGCTGTTTAAGGTCTTACAGATTTCATTCACTAACTTGTATATAGCCTCATCTGTTGAAGATTTTGTTCTAAAACCAAATTGTTCTTCCACTAAAATGTTATTGTTATTTAAGTGCTCAATCGATTTAATGCTCATAGCTTATAGATAGATACATAGATTATAATTTAGATCCTCCTGAAAATAAATTGGAGGTTTTATTGCTCGAGATAATTTGCCTGATAGTAATAAGGTTCCAAATCAGAAACATTTCACCATAAGTATTAGTAGCAAAGGATGCCAATCAGTTTGTCAGCCAACAGATGTAACTTTTGGATACAAATCTAGTCTGCTATTCAGAGCATTGGATTCAGACTCTCTTCAAATCTCACTGGAGAGTTTACCATGCACTGACTAAGCCATTATCTTCATGAGGACTTGAGACTTCAGAAATGCAGAGCATACTAGGAACCCCATCTCACTTAAAGACCAAGTTAAGTAGTAGTTCCCATTCACATTACCACTGCATGTGTGAAATCAACATAACAAGTAGATTCCTTCACTTTACCAGGAAGGTAAGGGCCAAAAACATTGTTAAGCTCATAACTGTACACATTTACTATAACAGAAAACAATAACTATGCTTACTTACCTTAACTAACTCCTTAAACACTGCACTTTGAATCATTCTACGTTTGTTCAGTCCCCCTGCCATTTCATCAAAATCAATGACAGCACGAACATTTTCTCGCAGTTTTTTAACTAGCCGTATATTTACATCAGCTTCCAAAAGGGCAGTACATATTTCTTTTAGCATAGCATTTAGTACCTGTTTGTATAAAGAACATAAAGAGATCAAAATGTAGTACCATAATATATATATGGGGGAAAGCATAACAAACAGGATTAAGAGAGAATGAATGAATTTATGAATGAAAGAAAGATATGGCAGTCATCACATGATAGACAATTACAACAAACTACATATGCATATAAAAATAACAGACACATGTATCAAATTTATTACAATTCCTATTTAACCAAATAAAGTGCTTTTCTATGAAATTACTATCTGATACTTCACATATTATTAGCCCGGTGAGACATGTCAGATCAGCTGTCACTTTAGTTTCTGTTAAGGTCTGACATACAAAGCAAAAGAAAGATTTCTCTGATTATTTGACAATATCGTGCGGCAAGCACGCAGAGAAAATATGCACTGCTTGCCATGGGTGACAGTCCAAATGAAAACTCATAAAATGTGAATCTCTATAATTATCTCTGTGATGACTTTTGGGTCAGCGTACAGCAAAAACTAACATAACGAAGACAAATGAACAAAAAAATATCATAATGGCTTGGCTTTCAACCCTAAATTTCAGTGCATCGTAAGTTCAACAAGAACTGTATATATGCCAAGTGTTTAGAAGCCATTCACACAGCATCCAACCAAATAACTACTAATTAATTACGATGTGGTTTAATAGATCATTACTTGGTTCCATCTGGAAGATTGACAGCAACAAGTACTACTTCCAAAGGGCATCCATCAATCTATACACAAATAATTTAAATTAAATTTCACGGGCATCAAATAATTCTGTTTGTGTATGTATAAACATCTTTCATAGTAAACTCTGGCTAAACAAAATTATTTCTGAAACGGAACTGTTTATATACACAATAAGTACAGGATTCTTGAATAGTGGACCTTAAAGACATATGTGTTAGTAAGAAAGCCTCCATATTTCACTACTTACCTCTTCGTTTATCACTGTTGCATTGCTTAAGGACCGCAACGCGGACGTAATTTTACGTCCCAAATCTGCTAACACCATTGTGTCTCTTTTTTATAAAAAATTCGGTCTATCAACAAAATATACGTATGATATCCTCCTGAAAGCAAACGGTCAGCACTATACTCCACTCATTTCCTTTCCATTGAAACCTCCTCGACTCAGTTCGCCAATAACATACAACGCCACTTCCGCCTATTAATAGTAGTTTCGATATCTATTAGAATACGTTCGAATTTGTTAGTAACATCAACGCAATTTTAAATTTATTAAATTTCAGGTACAATATAGTTAACGATTTGAAGGATACCAGGGTTCATGAATATTGTATTTCGTTTGGCTCATGTGGCTCATTATTGTGGTGTGCCTAGTACTTAGAAGCGTTCGTTCAGTGCGTGCCACAATTGGCCGGGAAGCTAATTGTAGTTAAAGTAGGGATTCTATTTCATTCATTCTTTCGTTCTGTTCAATTGTATTATTAAACATATTGTAACGTGTTTGGCTACTGAAGACGCCGTTCGGACCGTTAATTGGTTTTATTTTATTAACAACCTACAAGTCGTAACTACAACTAATTATGACACTGTTACGGGTTTGCACAATTTACAAACCCTGCACACCAATCTGTTCACTCTATTTTCAGTAGTCTTCACTTATTTTCAGTACAACGCGGGAGCTATACAAGTGTCACTGAATTTACACTCTCAGTTATCGCAAACTGTCACTGATTATTACACATATTTTTTTTTTTTTAATTTCAGTTACAATGTAGAAAACGATTTAAAGGATACCAGGGTTCATGAATATTGTGCTTAGTTCTGCTCAATTGTAGTATGCATACAAGTGTTTGAGCGTGCAACAATTGCAGGAGGAAGCAATTTATAGTCAAAGTTGGGGCTCTCTTTCATTCTACACAATCGTATTATGAAACACACGATTATATTTAACGCCATTTAAATTATTTCATTGTTAGTGCGACGAGTTGTACCTTATCATACAATTACATAGCATTATCGAAGAAAAAAAAATCCTTGTAACTTCTTCAGAATAATACTGTTATCGAAGGGTCGGTGGTACCAATTGCATAAAAATTATAATTAATTTTTAATTCCATGTTGATGAAATTATCCAATTTCGTTTTTCACACGATAATACCCTGGTCCAGTTCTACGTTCTGTATGACTGTGCACTCCATTAACAAAAACAAAAGCGCTTTGCAAACTAAATCAATAAGTACAGCATTCACCTTCTCCAAGCCCGTAAATGTAGAAAGGAGTGGCCGGAAGCAAAGTTACAGAATGAAAGGTAGTGAGCAGAATGAACTATGTGTAATTTTGCACAAACAAAATTGATGTTTACGAATATTCACAACCACTTCCCAACTTGAATTGAATGGGGGTAGTGAAAATCTCTAAAATAACATATTTCGCAGAAGAAACTGGGCACGTCAAGAAATGTCAACGGCTCACGTGGATATGAAGGATGACAATAATGGTAAGTTCAATTACAATTTAAAAATAACATAATTTGTTACTTCCAAATAGACGTTAAAGTAAATAATATAATTTGTTACTTATTCACAATACAAATAGACGACGTTAAAGTGTCTCTGCAATACTTCCTACACTGTAGATTAAAACACTTATCTGAATTAAATAATATTGTAACGTGTTTCGTGTATAACGCGACAAATCACTTCACGCCTTATTTGATATAGCGAATTTATCCCACTCGCTCTTACAATCACACCATTTACAATCTCAAAATTACTGCCATCGGCAGTATCACAAATACTAGACTGCAATTAACTGGTTACTCTTTCTCTAGTAACTGGCTTAATACTCACTACTCAGTAACTAATCACTCACTACTAACTAACTACTGAATCAAAGTCAAAGTCACATTGCGACTGACGGTCAGTCAGTCTGTCTGTCTTGGTGTCGAGCCCCAAATATTAATTATTATCGTTTGACAGTTACGGTCTTGTTTCTGTGGGGCGCCTTCTCTGACGAGCGGACGGGTCTGTCTTTTGTATATGCTGCTGGCCCTTGCCAGCGCAGTCTTACTCGGGTCCGAGTCCCTTGGGACTCGCGACCATATTTTACTGTCTCAGAACTGAGACTTCCCTTCAGTACCATTGTGTATTTACTAAGCTGTTGCCTAGCAATGACCGTTGTCTCGTTTTTTGTTTCATGGCCATTGCCTAGCAACGGATCTACATGCCACAGTATCTGCAACGGACTCCCCGCCGTGTTTACAAAGGCGTTGCTGGGCAACGCTGCCGAGAGTTGTTTATTGCTGCATAGCAACCGCGGTGTCCCCTGTTACGTCACCGCGGTGGAGGGGGACGGGGTGTTTGCCGAGCGTGGCGCCGTCACGTCACAATATAATTCGGATTATACTTCATTGTAATTAATTTGCTCCTTTTTAGGAAATATTATTATTTGGATCTTGGTTATTTTATATGGAGTACAATTAAAGCACTTTAAACAAGTTCATGAGATTTAGTGCTGCAGTGCAACTGAGTCTTTCACTTTTTTTTTTGCTGCTTATTTCCGTGTAAACTGATATTTTGTTATGAAAAATACTCCGACTTGATACTTGTTTGCCTTCAGACGATTGCATAATTTAAATATTCTTTTGGTTGAAGTTATGGACAATTACATTCCTTTTTTCCTTAACGGAAACATATATATGAATATGTTTATTTCTGTCCCTGGATTCTATGATACCGTGTTTCTACAACCATCTTGTAGACAATTTCAAAATTTAATTTTACTAAGTGCTTGCGCAAAGGGCCGCGCCATAGCTCAAGCGGTTAGTCGCTGGCTTCCCACCGCAGTGGCCCGGGTTCGATCCCGGGTCTGGTCAAGTGGGATTAGTGGTGGACAAAGTGGCGCTGGGGCAGGTTTTCTCCAAGTACTTCGGTTTCCCTTGCCAATCTTCATTCCACCAATTGCTCCACAATCACCCTCACCTATCATCTGGGGCTGGTACAATATGCCAGAAGTGCCTGCAGTGCAAGGGACTTAGTCCCACCCCAGTAGCAATAAAAAAGAAGTGCCTGCGCATACTGGTGTAATTTGAGGGGAAAATAAATGTAGGTGGACAAAGACAAATGACAAGTTACATCTGTGCCTCAGTACCAAAACTCATAATTACTACACTCACATCTCTCTAGCGCCAAAGCAAGAATGGTGGCCCTGTACTTTTACACCTCCATACATCCCCATGGCATGGTGCATAATTAATTATTCACATGGAAAACTTTAACTTTACCTGTTTTACTTTCTCGACACAACAATGGAGCCATCAGCTTCAAAAGTCTGAACAATTTTTTTCATGCAATAAATCAAATGCCACCAAATATCTTTTCAAAATTTCAAGAACCTACTCTAAATGGTGATAGCACTGTCCCCATCCAGGAAGTTCATAAGACATTTATGCATGACACTAGTGTTATACTGGTCTCAGATATTTGCAAGACAGCTGATATGTTGATGACATGGAATTGAAAAGTACAACATTGTCCTTCAATGGCGCTTTGTTCCCGGTATTGAATTTAATGAAACTTAGCAACTGTTTGTTGTGTCCTAATATGAAATGGGATGGATGGTCCAACAGACACATGCAGCTCACTAATAGGGTTCTGATGCATCCTTTCTTGGAATTATGCAGATTTGCATGTACCTAAATGAAGAACAAAAAAGGAAATTTACAATAATTCAATATGCAGAACTATGCTCCTTAAAGTTCTTGTACCTGGTCTTCCATAACTAATCATGACATTCAAACAATATGAACTGGTTTGTTGAAACAAATTGTTAAAAATACAATAAATTACAGAACAGATGACAAGAAGTAAAATGAAAGCTTAAAGAATAGTAAAAAACAAATTAAAATAGCTATATATATATCAGTAATAAAGTCACTACCATCCTTAGTTCCATTTGAAGAAAATGGTGACTTAAGATAATTGGTTAATAACAAATTAAATATGTTGTTACTTTCAGTTCCAAGCCATATAAAACATAGTCCTTATTTTGATTGAAAAACATAAGTCACAAACAAAGTACTCAGGAATGTTGTTCGCCAAAAGGACAGAATAAAAGACTGCTGCCTTCTGGGATATAACACCATGTAGTCCATTCAAACCAGCATGATGAAGGCAGCAATTGCTGCCTGCAACGTGTGGGTTTCTTACTTGGTTTACTCTTCAAACTTGAAGATGGAGCCAGCAGGTTCCTTCAAAATGTCATCTGACTTTCAACAGACTACATGGTTCTATATCCCAGAAGTTAGAATTCTTCATAACTACTGCTGTGAGAATAAAAAAATCATACAAGAATAACATAAGGTGGCAATTTAGGATATTACACAAGGAAAAACTTATTAATCACATGTTATTACTATGATAGTGACATCAGTAAGTTTATGATGGACTAGACTGGGTATTAGATAGGATCAAGGAGACTAGGAATGCATTCAGAATTTTGGGTAGAAAATTTCTTGGAAGACCGAGAAGAGAGCATGATAGTGACATGACTTTTTTGGAGATATAGTATGAGTTGGGCGATGGACTGAACTGACTGTGGACTGCAAACAGTTGTGGGTTTTTGTATTACTACTGCTGAACCTTGAGGCCTGCTACTAGGGAATTAGTAATCATAGATGGCACAGAGACTGAAATAGTTATATCATGGAGCGTACTATTATATCTTACAAAAGAACAGTGTGGAATAGTTCTTTTTGCATTTTCAGGTACTCATGATGTATTAACAGAATCTGTAGAGCAACTACGAGCACGACTGGATGCTATGAAGAAAATAATTGATGATCCAGATAAGAAAGCACACAGAAGAAGTCAAGCAGGAAACACAATTATTGATGGAAGTTTTCTCAGCATCGTCTTCACAGTTGTTCTCCTGATGATCATTGGTGTTAGTTTTTATGCTTTCTTGAATCTTTATTATGCCATCATAAAGAAATTCCACTCAAAAGAACACACTGAGCTATAGACTGATATTGAGGTTCATAACTGTAAGAAATCAAACTGAAATTATCAAAAAACTGATACAGACTCATAATCAATACCATTATAAAATATAAGTAAATATAAGTTATTAAATATAAAAGGTGACATTCAGAACTGCAGGTATGAAGTTATGAGGAAGATTTAGAATTCAGTATTGCCCTACATTGAGAACTAATCTTTACAAGAAAATTCCTCAACAAATGCAATCCAAAGCCATTATTTATAATGTGGTATCTGAAATTCTTAATAGTATATGTGAAATGAAAGAAAGAATTTTGTTGGTCACAGTAATAAAAATGTTTTTATGATTTAAGTATGTCAGAAGTTATCCACATCAATATTACTTATATACAATAAGTCACAATCCAATACTGTGTGCTGAGTTCAACCCCTTTCTTCCCACAACGAAGTACAGTACCTTCAAAATCCATGGATGTGATAAATTATAAGTACCTAGTAATTTTACCATACAAAATTTATTAGAATTAATATGAAATATAGTGTACAAAATGGTGGAATACTAGTTTATTGTGTATGTGTTCCTGAGGTACTTTTATTCACATTTTGGTAAACAACATTTACTGTTAAAGTTTAGGAAAAAGAAGACAACATATGCGAGGCTTTTGACTGTGCTGTGCCTAAGGAATACGTCAAAACTGACAGTGATTTTGCATAAGGATAATTATTAGGGTAAGACACCACTGTCAAATTCATATGTGTGAAGTAAGATTCAACATCATACATTCTTTCTAGATTCAGTCAAATTCTTTATTAGTCTGTAAAAGTATACTTGATTAGTTGACAACTTTAACACACCTGTTAACAAAAGTTCATTTAGTAGATGTTTGTTTGAATCAATTAAAAATCACTTATGCTCTTTTCATGCTTTAATTATGTATACCCAGACTGCTACACAGAGTGACCAGATTTTCTTGATTTTCTTGGAAAATCTATGATTTATATAAAATGTACTCATAATGGTGCTTTGACAAGGCCAGTTACTCCAGATTATGATTTGTATTCAAATTCACATTAAACGATTAAAATATATTAATACATATTAATGCTAATTTCACATCGTTACTTAATATCCCTACTACAAACTCAGTCAACATAATGACTATGATATGGACTGGATGACTGAAGAATCAGGTAGGTGCAGATTTCTCTCTTCTGTACTATGTCCAGACTATCTCTGGGGCCCGTCCAGCATCACATCAAATGGATACAAGGGTACTTGGAGGTAAATGTGTCCAACATGAAGCTGACAATTCATCTCCATCAAGTTAAGAAGGCATGGAACTATAGCACCACTCCACCACACATATATTCATGGTGTAATGTCAAATTACCTTTGGTTTAGCTTGTAATGGACAGTAACGCCTGGTGACATATTACAATGGTGTTCAATTTGAGGTTATCTCAGCGCTGGCTATAAAGAGTACCATCTTCTGGGATGTAACAGCAAATAGTTCAACAGAAGTTCACTGACGTTTCAGAGAAACAATACATTTCATATGCAATTTCATGTTAGGTCAATAAATGTCAATCTAAAATAAATATTATGGACAAGTGAGAAATGGGAGAGTGTTGCACCTGTTAAGAAGAAAGCAGGATGGCATTAAATGTTGCTTTAAGCACTGTAAGTATTCTACTAAATATCTGACAATATCCCACACATCCAGATTCTTGCATCCTACGAAGTTGTTGTATTTCAGGAGCTGAACACAATTGGGNCAACCTCCTTTACAGATAATTCCAGAAACCGCTTTGTTCATGCAGAGTGCTATGGTCACTACTGCACTAATTAGAAGATTCCTGAAGTGTGACATGCCTATATCAGCAGTTAAATGGTAAAATCACAGATGAGTTCAACCTGGAGCTGGATGTTCTGTGAGTTTAAGACAAGGTGGTGGATTTGAAGTATCACGTGCAACGACTGGGCCAAGAAGAGGGGTCGTTATGGCGTCTTGGAGCACGCCCACGATCATTCCTCCTTATGTTGGCTAGAGATGAGGTGATAGCAGCTCAGTGTGAAAGATTTGTTATGCACAGCTGAAGGGTTCATACAGGTGATGAAGTGCCTAGTAAAATCAACTTGGAAGGCTGCTTGCCAATAAGGACAGTATGTGACCAATAAGTCCTATCAAGCTCAATGAGAGGAACATGTCAGTGGGCTTAACATTGTCATCAGCGGAAGTATCCCAATGCAGAGGAATTCTCTAGAAGACCCTGCATGGAGCCCTGCGCTAATTGCCAGATAATCGGATGACAGTCAAGCTGATGATACAAGTTACTTCTGCTGGGGATGTCTGAGATCATGGCATTCTGAAGAGGGAAAAACTATATGATGATATCAGGTCAATTTTACAGAAAGTGGAGGCCGGAAAGCATCCCGAGTGGGAGCACATCATCAAAGAAAGGGCCATGCAAGCCAAGCAGTTCACCACCTACCTCTCATGGTTTTTACTTGGCTTACAATTTGACCTTGAAGATGGAGGCAAAGTGTTCATCTGAAACGTTGGGCTCTCTCTGAACTATACATGTTACAACACAGAAGACCTTACTCTTTTTATTGTATAAATGATTTATTCACGAAAGAACCTTGTTGATATTATGGATTCTGAAGTTAGTTAATATATATCAGAAGTGCAGCACCAAAAGCAATTCTGCGCAACCTCAGTGCAGTCTTTATAACCATAAATTATTTCTTAAAAATGTGCTACAATACCATTCTCTCTCTCAAATTAAAATAAAAAAAAACTCCAACACGTCTAAGACTTGGAAATTGTGAGACCACTTTCTGTAATTTGGTCATGTATTTAAGTTAGTTGTGGCCATCATAGCCAACTTTTCTTGTATATGTACAGAAGTGGATCAATAGATGGGTTTACTGGATGCATCGTACCTACATGTAGATGGGATGTGTTAAGTTTTACCTTTGAAATTTCAATGAGTATTTTAGTAGTCAATGAACTATTTTCTAGGTATTCAAATTTCTTCCTCAGCTATAAACAAATAAGCCTATACTACAAAATAGCTGTTGAACTAAAATAACTTCGTAAACTCTCAATTTAGTTTATAGAGTGTTAATAAATGTATATTTGTGGATTCAGAATAAGCAGATAACACTCTTTAATGCAAAAGTTCTACATATAGCATCATTGGAACATGTATTCATAACTCATTTGGGAAATGTTATCGCTATTAAACAAACTTGTTTATTTTATTATTTTTTAACTGAGTATAAAATTTCCTTGTGATACAAGCTCAAAGCTTCCTACGGGATTAACAAGAAAACAGACAATAATATAACCACTTCAACCACATTAAGCACTGAGCCCACCAATATCACAAATCTTTCTCTATTAGAAAGATCACTCTCTTTAGAACATGAAATACCTTCCAACATTGCCCATTCTGACTCTTCTGGTCCCTTACATTTGGGTTCACCTTCAGATTCCAAGGCAGTCATCACGCTCTTCTCCCTGCTCCAGTACCACAAAGGTTGAAGCTTGCAGTCACACTCAAGAGGGTTCCCATGTAGCATGAGCTGGGAGAGCTTGTCCAGTGGCTGAACAACATCCAGGTCCAGCGAATGAAGGCTGTTTCTTGCTAGATTCAGCTTCTCAAGCTTTGGATTCGAACTGAAAGTACTTCGAGGCAAATATGTTAGTTTACAATTGGATATGTCTAAATCTTCCAGATTTTCTAGATCAGCAAACAGTTCTGGTTGTAATTGCAATATTGAATTCGAAGACAAGTCAAGCATTTCCAAGTCTCTCATATTCTGGAATACATCTGCTTCTAAGATTGTGACATTATTATTACCTAGAGAAAGTGTCACCAGATCTGATAAATTTGTCAACAGGTCTTTATTAATGTATGTCAATTGATTATTTTTTAAATAAAGGCGTCTCAGCAATCTGAAGTCCTTGAATGTATTCACATGAATATTCTCAATATTATTGGAGCCTAAATCCAACGTGCGCACGTCTGGAATACTTCTGAAAGCCTCTGGATGTATGAAATTTACTGAGTTGTTCTGCAGATATAAACTGCTTAATTTGTAACTTCCATTAAACACATCTTCTTCCAGCTGCTCTAAGCAGTTATAATTAAGGTTTATAATTTCTATATCTTTCAGCCCATGGAAAGAACCATGTTTAAGAGTTTTGATCTTATTATGACTCAAGTCCAATATCCATAGACTGGACAACCCTTCGAAAATATCAGGTTCTACAGTTTCCAATAAATTTCCTTCAAAACGAAGTACTACCAAATTCTGTAAGTTCCTGAAGGCACCTGAATCCAATGTTTGTATCGAATTATTGGCAAGAGAAATATAAAGCAACTCCATGTTGTCATCAAATAGAGTGCCACCAAAAGATTCTATTTTATTATTATCCAACACTATTTCTTCAAGCTTAGGAAGCCCCATAAACGCTCCCGGATCTAACACATGGATTGAATTATTAGCAAGAGATACTGAAGAAAGTCTTTGTAAGCCTTCGTACATGCCCTTGTGAATTTTCTCAATACTATTGTCTTGTAAATCAAGCACATGTAAGTTCTCAATGTGTTTAAATGTGCCAGGCTCTACAGTTGTGAGGGAATTATGACCAAGAAGCAGGGTCTGCAAATTCGCCAAGTCTTTAAACGTTTCGGAAGTAATATTAACAATTGTGTTCTCTTCTAAAACGAGCTGTGACAAGAAGATGAGACCATTGAAAGCCCTGTCTTCTACTTTGTGAATATTTGAGCCACTGATACTCAGCAAGTCCAGATTTGACAGGTGCCTGAATGCATTAGCTGCTAGTATTTCTATGTTATTATTATCCAAATAAAGCCGTCGCAGTCTTTCTAAACCATTAAATGCACCCTGATCAATGGCTCTTATACTGTTGTTAGCAAAGTTAACTGTGTTTATATACTTGATGTCTTTAAAAGTGTCTAGCGGAATATGTTCTATTTTATTTCCTTCTACATTAATCTTCAGACCATTGGAATGGGTGCTCGTGTGTCCTTGAAGACCTTGGAAAACGCCTTGATCTAAAGCAGATATATCATTATGCGCCAGATTCAGGAAGTTTAATTTCACCAGCCCCTCAAATGTTCCACTCTGGAGGGATAACAGTTTGTTTTCAGATAGTTCCAACACTACCAGTTTCCTGAGTTTCCTGAACGTTCCTGGAATAAGAGTCTGTATGAAGTTGTTATTGAGGTCCAGATCCACAAGAGATGACAGTTCGTGAAATAAGTCTGCAGGGACTGTAGTTATTCCATTGTTGTTTAATCGCAAAACAGTCAAACTCTGCAAACCTTCAAACATGCCAGCACTAAGATAATCCAATTTATTCCATGAAAGATCCATCACCCTCAGATATGTGAGAGAACTAAAAGAATCCAACTCTATTTCACTGATGGCATTATAACTTAACTGTAAGAACTGTAACTGAGATAGATAATGGAAGTCATCCGAGCTAATCCTTTCTATTTTATTATGTCTTAGATCAAGGATTTGCAATGAGTGAAGGTCTTGGAAACTTGCAGAATTGATTTTTTCTATAGAATTTTCACTCAGATCCAATTCCTCTAATGTCTTCAGATATGAAAATGTGTCGGGATGGACAGAGGAAATCTGATTGGAAGAGAGGTAAAATGTTTTGAGTTTCTCCAGCCCATGAAAAGCTCCTGGTACTATGCTCTTGATCAGATTACCTGAAAGATTAAGTTCTTCCAATGATGACATTGTTTCGAATACATCTTGATCTATATTTATGACACCACATGAAGCAACGGAGAGTTTGATGAGGTTCTGAAGATTAACGAAGCTTGTTGCAGTCAGCGATGCAATGTTGTTGTAGTTCAACTCAAGGTACTGAATGGTAGATGACACATTCTTGGGTACCTCCAAAAGATTGCTGTTGAAACAGGAACCGGAATTGTTCCCCCAGATGCAAGTTGAACCTCTCACCCGCAAGATGGTTGTAATTCCCATGAGGAACAACGCTCTAAGTACCGCTATCATTGCGAACCTATTAGAGAAATTATGATTCAGAACAAAAGAAATTCATCACTTTTAGAATGTAATTTCTACCAGAAGAATAACATTTCCCACACTGCCATAAATAAATTACTTAACATTTTTAAATTTATGAATAAGGACTTGTGAATGTGTGCTGCTAATAAGCAGAATCGAATTTCTTGACTAATTCTTAATACAAATATTATCTCATAACGGAAGCTTTAATTCAGTTATCTCACGACAGGGTCTTCTGTTAAAATACTGTATCTCATGGCGATTCTTATTTCAAATAATACTATTATTTCATAACTGAAAAAATAATTAAAAGAATGTTATCTCACGAATAGAGTCATAAGTGAAATAATATCAACAACAACGACGACGATGACAACGACAATGACAACACTAACAACAACATTTACTGTTTTACGTGTTGAATTCAAGTCAGCAATAATAATAATAATAATCGTTGTACTGTTAATAGGCATTGTCAATTAGAGATCTGCAGATCTTGGTTAAAATTTGAGAATATCTGTGTACGTTGAAAACCAGCACTCCCCTTCCAACACACACACAACATTTCAGAATAAAGGGTTCGCATGCATGGCGAAATAATGCATGAAAAGATGACACGTCAAAAACAGAACTGAAAAGCCGCCTTCTCACGTTTGGATGAGTTTGGTTCTTAAAATTATCTCTGGTAGTATATTAGACCAGGAAATTTCGACTACGTGAGGTATTCCGTTATAACTTGCAAACAACCCCCCCCCCCTTTTNCGCTTTTTTCTGAGAATATGAGAGCAATTGACGGGATGTCCGTCGCAACGTTTTCGCGAAACGAAGCCCACTACTGAAATGAGGAGGAAGTTGTTATGTTCATGATAGAGGAGCAATAAAATCGAACGCCATCTTCTCGCGTAAATTACGCCGGAATACTAACTTATTACAAGTTGCTCCGGATTTTATATAAACTATGGAGCAGGGTCATTCTTCAGAAGCCAAATGTCGCTCAGTAAGTTACAAAATTCCAAGCCTTTTACAGCATCCGAAGGTTCATCACCGTGTTCACATGAGCCCGGCAACTCGCCAGACGAAGGCAGTCCACGTCCCCAAACCCCATTCATTTAAGAACCATTTTAGTATTATGCCCCATCTACGCCTATGTATCGTACGCTTATTTATATTATTTCATTAATTAAGTATTTCTAGAAAGGAATTTTGGCGTTTAAGCATTCCTATGGGTAATTTTAAAATAGCAGTAAATTAAAAGAAACTAAAAAAGTAGGCGAATTTAGTCTTATGAAGGACTGCGATTTAAATATGTGATTACTATGCAAATGATTTTACTAGTTTGCGGACTGAATGTTGGTAAGTACAAAATAATTTGTATCTCTATTAATTTAGGGCATGCCTTCTACACGTATAAATCATCCTGTAGGAGTTTACTTACTCAGACTCCGCTATAGTACGGATCACGATTCCTGTGTTCTTAATGCCATGTATTTCGCCAAGAATGTCAACTTTAATCAATGTTCATTTCTTCGCCGTGTTGAACTCAGTGTTATTATCTGACCCGTAGCGTTAATATCACTCTGATTATGGTCACAATGATAAGTGCCAATGTTCATTAGAGACACTCAAAAGGAAACGAAAAACATTCCTCATACTATTTATAAACCGGCAAAAGAAGACCAAGATCAGCGGTGCAAGATATTGTAACATTTAAAAAGAAACGTCTAGAGGGCGTTTGAGTGGAATAATTGTACTTGCGAGTTTAAAAGTGACTCACTTACTCATGGAGCTGAGCCCTTCTTGAAGAGAAGCCAAATCTGCAGCTACTCAAGAATTTCCCAGCATTTTATGGAACCCGAAGGTTCATTACCATGTTCACAAGAGTCCACAACTGGTTCCTATCCTGAGCCAGATTAATTCAATCCATACCACTCCATCCTATCTCCATCCACCTACGCTTCCCCACCAATATCCTATATCCATTCCTCTTCTCCACCATTCGTTCTGGCCAATGAAATACTTGTTCAAATCCGGGAACTCACAAAATTTCTTGTCGCGTTGCCTAGCAAACACGCGACAATATGACACACAACAGGATGCATACTATAAAGATTATCAGATAACGCAGCTCCTCGCCAGCTATGAGTTCGCGGGGACGCCGATGGAGATGCTACTTGAAGGCTGTTTCCAGAGGATACACACGAAACAAACAACTAGAGAGAATTTATATGAGTACAACTCTGAAATGGCGTTCGCATCTAAAGGCACAGTCACCTGGTAATGAACCAAATTTTTTCCGGATACACGGCCAGATTCGGGGACACGCGGTAGCGTAGTTGGTTGAGACAGTATGCTACAAGCCGGAAGGTCGCGGGCTCAAGTCCCGATGAGGTCATTGGATTTTTTCAATTGACTTAATCCTTCCGGCCGCACTATGGCCCTGGGGTCGACTAAGCCTCTAACAGAAATGAGTACCAGGAATATTCTTGGGGGTAAAGGGCCGCCGGCGCGTAGGGCTAACAACCTTGCCGCCATCTGTGACGCGATTGTCTAGAAAATGCGGGACCCTCAACGTCTCACAACCCTATGGGCCTCCATGGCCTGTTACAGGTATAGCTTTACCTTTTACCGTTCCCTTAACAATTTTAAGAAGATTGGCACTATTTAATAAACTAAAATATAAAACTGAGTTAACCTGTCCAAATAACGATGCAAATTTAGATTAAATTAAATTCTTTTATATATTATTTTATAACATAATTGTAATATGAATCCATAGTAATTATAACTACTATAAATATTTTATATCTTTAAATAATATATTGACTGATGATGGCTCCAAGGGAGCCGAAATATGTCGCATAATTTTAATATAGTTAATAAACTCAATTGACACAAATGTGGTGATGAGTTAACTGTTTGTTGTGTTGAGTTATATAAAAATATACATATATTTCAAGAACATGTTACCAAATGATACTTTTCGTGGCGGCGAGGGGGAAGGGCAAACGGGAATAAATCAAAATTTTTTAAAAGTAACGCCTGTCAATATGAACGGAAACTCTTAGTCTATTCTCAGGCATTAGGATTATAATAGTTTGCTATTTTCATAGGAAACAACTGCAGCAAAACTTCGCCTTGGTTGCATAAATACATAAGTACTCCTATTATTTCTGTTCAAAGTTATATTTATGTTTTCGAATAGACTTCGATAATTTACAGGACCTTGAATATGTATTTTATATGCAATATCTCTTGATCTTTGACATTTTATAAAGCACATGCAATGGTAACACATTCTGAACTGCACAATTATATTCATATTCATAAATTATTCTTCCTCGTAATAATTTAACATCAGGACGTTTAGGTCAAAAAAGTTGCAACTAGATGGACCTCTGCCCTGTGTGAGGCAGTAAAAACTGCACACTTAACAGAAAGACAACTGAATGGAAAAGGAAGAAGTCAATTCCGTATGTTTACAAGTCGGATGGTCACGGTTTAGATTCCCGATTAGATCATTTGATTTTCCAATTTATCTAATTCTTCCAGCCGCAGTATGACCCTGGGGTCGACTCAGCCTCTAACAGAAATGAGTACCAGGAATCTTCCTGGCGGTAAGGGGCGGCCGGTGCGTGGGGCTAAACTCGCCGTCGTCTGTGGGCCGATTGCCTAGAAAATGTGGGAGCCTCGACGTCCCACAACACTGTGGGCCTCCACGGCCTGTTACAGGGATAGTTTTACCTCTTTTAGCTACAAATACACGTACATAATTATTAAAAAGCTACTGACGCAACCTAAGTCTGATATTGCTTTCATCGTCTTTCGTTCAAAATTTATAATCTCGATAAATTTTTCAAATAAACGTTTCAGATCATAAAGAGATCTATATGTACGCTATGTACATTGATTTTGCTGCGAGTGTTCCTGGCGGGGGCAGGTGGGCGGCATCATTATGTTGGAACTTGAGCTTTGTGTAACGTACGGTTTATCCCTGACCTATACGAGTCAAAATTAAATTCTTTCGATAAGTTTTAGCACAGTCCCCTCCCCACTGTGCAGTCACTTTTTACTGTGAAAACAGGGCATACAAATAACAGCTGTGTAACCGAATATTCGTTCAAACAAGGCTAATGGTACTGAATCCTGGTGGCGCCATCATGCTGGAAAGGGATTTTTTTTTTTCCCAACGGGTCATTAAAATAGAGAAATTTGTAATCAGCATGATGGTTTGATTGTATGTGGTGTATTCGAGTTATGGTTGTGAGTAAGAGTAATAATGAGTAATATTAATTTAAAGGACGTAGATTTATATGAATTGCTTGGAATACTTTCAACAGCTGCTACACAGGAGGTCAGTGAAAAACATTTATTATATTACTTAACAGGATAGCAAATTCTAACCTATAATTTTCAGATTTGTGTAAAGGTTAGCTTAACCCTTTTAGGTATGAAGTTCCATAGTTTGTGAGATTTAGTGAGAAGAAATTATATCTCTTCTACCATTCCTGGCTGGAGTTGTTACAGTCTTGCAAGGCACATTGTAAATTGTAACTTACTGTATTGGTGAGTTTTCAAAACTTTGAACACCACTACATGGCATAACGTCCCACAGAATGGTGCTATTTATAGTCACTGCTGTGAGGTTTTCAAATCTTGCCTCTGTTTTGTCAGTGTATCATACTCATTACAGTTTTAGTTCATGATAATCTTGTGTTGAGAAATTGTATTCTCTTGTTCTTTTGAAATATTTCTTTTTGTCATGTACAAAAATGATTTGTGATTAATACACTGAATGCATGCCTTTTAGGTGAAGAAAGCATACCGCAAAAAAGCACTGTCATGCCATCCAGACAAGAACCCAGATAATCCAAAAGCAGCAGAACTTTTTCATCAGCTCTCCAAAGCATTAGAGATCCTGACAGATGAGTCAGCTCGTGTAAGTTCTCTTGAATGATGCAAACATGTATTTTATACTGTTTAATTATAATCATACACTGTGTATATATATTTTTTTCCATTAAGGCTTTTAAAATAAAGACCTTTCGCTCATTATGGGTCAGATTTTGTTGCAGCACAATTCCATTTGTTTGTTTTTGAGAATTTCTTCATTTTATGGCTTATTGCTATTGCACAACAGACAAAATTTATATTAGGGTTTTATTATTAATTATTTCAAAATTTTGTAACATGAAGAATAAAAGTGAATTTAAGGTATAAAGAATTTATTTGTAGAGAAATAAATGAAGCCAAAATTTTTAGATGATGAAGAAATTAAAGTATTTGAATTCATAAATAACAGTACAACTGTATGTGTCCTCTTGTATATGTATTGAAAGGGTTACTGAGAGTTTATTTAATTAGACTTATTTAGTAGCGCTGTCAATGGTTCATAATATATAGTGCTGCATGATAGGATCACTAATTGATAATGAAATGGAAAGGATGTGGTAGGAAGCAGTTGTGACCTACTTTGCGGTACTATGCCATCACTGTCTGAAGGAACTGAGGAAGACAGTGAAAAAACTGAAGTCAGGGTAGCCAGTCTTCAGATCAAGATTTTAACCTGGCACCTCCAGAATATGCAGCAGATAACATTGTTGCAACACACTGTTTCAGAGATTAAAACAAGTTACATTATAAACTCCAAAAATTGTTTAAACTGAAAATATATTTGTGGGCTATACATATAATGTTCCAGTTGCAGAAGTCAGAGTTACGCAGAATGGAACATCAGTGAAAAAATGGTTCTAAGAAGTAAGAATTTTTCGCTGGCCATGTATGTCTCCCCCCCCTCAAATAAAAAAAATTCAGTTACAGACATGCTTCATCAATGTCACAGATAAATGGATCTCTGGAGATTCTTTTTATGTGCAGGCATGTAAGAAATAATCACCATGAAACAAAGGGATTTATGTGGTAGTCTTTAGGAATTATTTCTGGCATTCTCTGACAGTATCAATATATATATAAAAGAACTGATGAAAAAAAATACATCCTTTGTCTGACACATAGAATTATGGGTATAGTTTGTCACTGTGCTTGTAACGGGCATTAATATTTACTCCTTGATGTATAAACTATATTTTATTTTATCAGGCTGCATATGACCGGGTTTTAAATGCAAAGAAAGCAGCTAAGTTGCGACATCGTGAACTTGATTCTAAGCGGAGAAAGCTGAAGGAAGAATTAGAAGCAAGGGAGCAGCAAGCAGAGAAATTTGCAAAACAGTACCATGGCTATATCAGCAAAACAGATGAACAAAAGCTTCAGGTAACAGATAAATTCTCACCTGCGCCAGCATCATGACATGCGAAATGGACATACATTATGTGTAAGTGATGGATTACCTTAAAGAATCCTTACATGAACAGAGGCAAAGATTTCGGATATGGGGGAAATATTTAAAACAGCACTGTAAAAGTGGTTGAATCCCCTTCATTAGAGAATGCAATTCTGATATTTGTGCGGTTTATTATAGATTAGTATGTCAACATACAGCATTAAAATGCAAAGATTAATACCTTGCTGATAATACAGTAGTCTATTAAGATGAAGCAGTGTATTCTGAATTATTCAGGTTAATGGAGAAGAGGTGGGTTCATAAATATCTGTGTATATGACAACACAAAACATCTGATAAATTCAGTGAATAATGAGAAAAGAGGAAATACACAGGTAACTTGCAAGCACTCTAACAATAATAATTATGAATAATTATTTATGACATACAGCTTGATTTGACTCATAAATCTTACATATATTTGATGGGTATAATTATGTTGCAGGATGAGATTGAGAGGTTAAGAAAGGAAGGTTCAAAGCAAGTTGAACAAGAGCAGGAGTATGTTCGACAGCAAATCATACAAGAAAAGTTAAACAAGGAAACACTGAAGGAAGACTGTAGTCAACACAGGTTGAGAGTGAGATGGACTGTAGCAAAGGATGACCCAGACAATGGAGGATACACCAGTGAATTGTTGTACACAATACTTTCCAAGGTAGCATGATACTGGCCTCTCTCTATTGTTACATTTTCTTGCTTTTCAAATATTTTATCATTATGCATTCTTTGCAGAAACTAGGAAAAAATATGTAATGAGAAGATACTGTCATGTGATAATGGCTACACAATGGGTTTGGGGTGGAAATGCATTTCATTTGACACTGAGTACTCATATCTACAAGTGATTACAACAGTTCACAAGTATTCTCAGGGCTTCACAGCCTGTTATATCATTCTTGCTTCAGTATTCAGTGCTCTGTCTTCTCAGTACTCATTGCTAGGTTGCAGGCTCAGATAACAAGAGAACAGTGCATTTACCTAGCATGTATCTTTATATCACACTGTTTCTGACTACCAATGCAACCCTGAGCTCACCTGCACTTCAACTGAGGTGGGGGTGTCCACTGCTGCAGATTACATGTTTTCTAATGATATAACCTAATAATGGATGCCTCTGTGATTTCTGAATTGCTAATCCCCTTAAAGCTGCTCATCCTGAGAAGTCTCATGATAAGGTGCTGGTCTGCCTACGTGTGCTATCATTGCCACGACAGCTAAGAGGCCTCCCTGCTTGTGTATGGCCATCCTCATGAATGGTCTCCTGATGCTGTACAGGCCCCGACTTTTGAAGTTGGGGCTGTGATCAGCAGTATTCTTCCGTCTTGGACCTTGTCCAGCCTCCACATTCTGTAGCATTGGCCCTGCATCACTGTCATCCAGATGGTCCCTCCTAAGGAGTGTACATGGAGCCCAACCCAGTCCTCTAGGAAGTGCACCTGCATTACTGTACTTCCACTGCTGGCGGTCTTGGCCAGCCTAACAGATACTGCCCTTTGGGGGTTGAAATTGCATCCTTTCCCTGCAGATTCACACTCAGTGGGCAGCCTAGCCCTGCTGGGCTAATCACCACCTCCAAGGGCCTTCAAGCCACACCATCTTGATTCTCCCACATCAAGCCAGTAGCACCTCACTCCTGCCCTCATATGGGGAGATGTACATGGTCATGCCCTGGGGCGCCATAATGGCACTTCTTCTTCACCCAGTTGTAGCACACGGCACCTAAACTCCACAGATGCATTGTGGGAACACAAGACTTCCAACCCCAGGTTGAACTTGTCGGTGATCTCAGCAACAAACACCCAAAGTGCCACACCAGAGTCACTTCTAGCTACTTCTCCTTCAGGACAGCGATGGGCTCCCCTGATGTCATCTGCAGAACATATAGTTTGGTCAGTCTTGCAGTGTGACTGGCCTGGTGATTGTCATGGATGCCCCAGTGTCAGTGGTCATGAGGCATGACTTGTCCCCTATCCACTCCTTGGTGTTTAGGCTGTCGTTGCTCCTTTCTGTCAACATGCTGAGCATGGTGCTAGGGGGTGGGAGTGATGACACCAGTGCCTCCTCCTTTGTGCGGTTGTTCCCAGCAATCTTAGGGACTTCTCATTGTTTGGTGTTTGTCCCTCTAATAAACACTGTCCTTCTGCTCGGTGCGCCTGTGCTGCCAACACGGTGGGTAAAGATCTCGACATATTTGCAATTGGAACAGTTTCTGTCAGTGACACTGAACCTAATATTGTTAATAATATTTGTTAATGATACTCTTAATATTTCTTCTGTGTATGTGGTCTTATTTTGTTGTTCTCTCCTGTTAACGTTAACTTTATTTTTCTTGGCATTATTATTAATCTATTGTCATTATGTAGACTCTCAAATTTTGTATTTGTTTTTTAATTATTTTTATGTAATTCTATGTACTCATGCTAACCTTTTAATTGGCCTCTGTGCTGTTAAGTTGTACATAATTAAACATGAATTGAATTGATTTAAAGTAGGATGTTGAGCTGCCACACGAATAAATAAGAATTAATTGGGTTATTATTATTATTAACTTCTATGTGTGTATTGTCCTTTCTCATCACATAATGGAATAACCATTCGAAATGTACTTATTTTATTTTTCTCGCCTGTTAAAGCTAACTTTTTTTTTCTTTTCTTTTCTTGGAATTGTTACTAATTTATTGATATTGTATAGACTGTCATATTTTTTATTTTGCTCTTTAATTTTTGTGTATTTCTATGTACTCATGCTAACTTTGTAATTGGCCACTGTGCTGTTAGGTTTGCACATAAATAAACACGAATTGAATTGAATTGAATTTTGAGAGGTGCAGGTGATTTTTAAGGTTTGATATCCTGAAAGATTTTTCTCACTGCCTTCAAAGAAATCTTCTTAATTTGTTTCAATTTCTGGCCATTGCTTCAATCATGGTTTGTAAGATTTTGGGTGGAAGATTTACATTTTGTCAGCACTACTGTTTCCATAAATCTGTAGGTTAAAGTAAACCATTCTGTTGTGTAAGAGTTCTTTCATTGCACATTCTGTAATTAGGAATATGTTCTTTCTGTTACAGTATGGTGAAATTGTTGCCTTAATTATGTCTTCAAAAAGGAAAGGAAGTGCACTTGTAGAGTTTAAAACAAAAGAAGCAGCTGTGAGTATAGCAGTGATATTTCTTACAGGATTGAATGACTGTCTGCTTAATTAGTAGCTTTTGTTTCAAATAATCACCTTATAATAATAGAGCAGATGTCTTTTTAATGAGAAAGCCTGGTTATGTCTTTCATCACCTGATGGTTTCATATTAGTGTGACTGCTTTGATTTGGGTAATAGGATGCTGACTGTATGCAAAGCAAGAAGTTACTTGAACTGTCCCACTTTTATAAATATTTCCCACTAAGGGATATGTTCACAAGAGCTTACCACTGGAACCTTACCTGGTCAAGTTGTATCCATGTGTGTTCCAAGTTCTTTGTCATGTGTGCCTCATCCATCCATAAACCTAGATAAAGAATAGGTACTTATCATAAATGTCAAAATAATTCTGGTTTAATCTGATTTTAATTCAGTCTCTTAACCCAGTGGAGTCTGACATTAAGCACTACTCATGGGCAGCCATAATATCCTTAATGACACATCATGACAAAAGTTAATGTTCTCATTAAACCTTGTCTTTGTGTTAAAAGTTCAGTGTGTCCTCATCACTATGAGTATGTTCAGTGAATATCCTGTCAACCATCACCATCGATTTGTAACAGTATTGTTTTCAGTATGACTAGTGATCTTGTAAGCATGGCATTTATGAAAAGAAAGCTTTGTTTTGTGTGATACTGACGATGAATTTCAATTCTAAGTCTGGTTCTAGTGTTATGAGGGCAACTCAGCATCACAGTACAGTAATGACTGTGTCATATGGACATGCATAACCCAGAAAGTGGAGATAATGTTTAGATTGTGCCTACTTTACCAAAGTATGTACCACATGGCATTTTGAACAAAAGTGAATGGAATTGGACTGAAGGAATTAATATTCTCCATAGAGTGAACACCTAGTTACCTAATATCCAAGCAGCTATAAACCTCAGGGAACCTGCAGAAATTTGAAAGAAAATGTACTATTTTATAAAGTTACATAAAAAGTAAACTTATGATATATATTCACCTGCCACATGGTAGTTCTCCCAGGAGCCATTAACAGTGCTGCCCATCACAAGAACTAAAGCAACAGTGTTGTTTTGACTGTTTGCATTGAGTGTCCCTGAGTGCTTTTAGAAGTCCATATTATTTGCCAAGAGTAATATTCAGACAAGACTGCGTAATAGACAATCAACTGTCTTCTGTTGAGTAGTGTTTTGTAATAAGTTACAACAGAAAAGAGTAATGGGTGAAGCAACATGCTATCTACTGTAACAGTACCGTTTGAACGGGTATTCCAGGCCAAGCATACGGTCACTTAAAAGACTCCAATGGGTTAATATGATAGGCTTTGATCCTGTATGTTTGTGTCCATCTGTAAAGTTTCTACCTGCTTTTTTCATTCACATCCAACACTCAAATATATATATAATTTTTAGGGACCAAATGTTGTGAACCAAGTGGTAAAACAGTATAAGATCACTGGTCAACCACAATGGTGCTTCAGTTCAGATTTTCAGCACTGTAAAACAGCCTTAATAATAGTGTGTCTGTATGCCATTTGTAATGGGAATGCTTCAGATGAATGTTTGTAATTCTCAGGGGATGGCACTGGAACTGGAACGAGGATTAACTGAAACCCCTTTGAAACTGGAATGCCTTGAAATTGAAGGACAGAATAAACCAACTGGAACCAAGAGAGGACCAAAGTTGGCAGATCTGAGGAGTGAAGCAGCTGGAACTAAAACACAAAATGACAGCAGTACCTTCCCATCCATGGCTGATGGAACAAAGAATAAATCACCTAATTTTCGAAGCTTTTCATTCTCCCCTAACATTTCAGTACGTACACAACACTTCTTTCATGTTTGTCAAGAATATTTTTCTAATGGCAATATCAACCCCATCATTGGTGACTTAAAATACCATTTTGTGTTCCCTAACATATATTTCATATTATGCTGCTATTTTCCGGGAGACATAAGAACCACATATGAAAGCTGTCATACAGCCCAGAGAAACACTGGGATACAACAAACACTGTACAGCATTGAGCCAAGAATTTGTCTGGGATATACTGAGTAAGACTTGAAAGTGAATTACAAAACATTTCTGGGAATACCACAGAAGGTGATAAGTAAGCTCTACTGGATTACCTAGTGATATATTATGCAGAACATGAGGTAGGGGCTATTTAGGAAAGTATGTTAGTCCAGTTAAGACAACTTTAGCCATAGACAATAACAAAAGATAAGTCAGACTATGTAGGTTGCTAGCTGTGAGTACCAGTGTATGTTAGAAGCAATTTAGGACACACAAACTCTGTGTCAATGATAAAATCATATACGACAATACCTGTTTTAAACTGCTGAACTGAAAAATCCCTATAAAACTCTCAGGATAGCTGATCCCGAGGCCAAAATTGATACCCAGAATCTTCTGAATATCAGTAGGAGTGCTACCCATTCTACCATGATATTCAGTTCTTGTAATATGAAACACAGTTCTAATTGGTTCCAGGTGTGACATAAATACTTCCCATACTATGCAGCCCAGAAATATTGGTTCCCAAATTGTGATAGACAGTAAACTTTGTTATTCAGCATGTAGGGTTAATGGGGATTTGTTGGATGCAGGAGAAAAGGTGTTCTAGCAACCAAATAACAGATACAGAACAACACATTTTTGCTCTCGTTCTTGTTTGGGAGTCTTCCTGGGCAACAAACTGAACTGATGGATGACAGATTTGGGGTACATATAGTGTAACACGGTCACAAATTCAGCTAGGCTGTACTATAATGGCTCTTGAATGAGGGAGGCTGATGGGTAGCACTGCTAGTGACAGCTGAGGGAACACTGCACTGAGGATGAACCCATGTATCTCACAAATTTGAATAACTGTTTAAAAATGGTAAAGGCAAAGTTGTCCCTGTGAAGCACTATGCCATGAAGCCATGAGGGAGTGACGTGGAGAAGAGAAAATTCTTGCCTCTTGGGGCTCCAGCTCTAATCCCTCAGCCATCCAGCCCCCCTGAAATGTCTTTTAAATATTTTTCAATTAGGTGAGAATTCCAGATATTTGGTTACCAGATAACTGGGAGCTTATTGTATTGAGATTGTACTGGACTTATTTGTTAGCTATCATAGCATGCAAATTTCAGGATGGAATTAATACTCCCCATGCTTACGTTATTTGATACTTGCAAGATGAAAATAAATTTTAAGACCAGTATACATTCTTCACATAGTGCAGATATTGTAATTAACTACCATATTGAGTTGTTACTGTGTGCTTGTTAGCTGATGCACAGTTATCATCCACCAAATGCTCCACTACCGTCAGGGACAGATACAACAGACACATTGCAGCCACAGTATGAAGGGACTCAGTCTGACCCTACTCCAGAAATGTAAAAAAGCTGTGTAATGCCCCTCCCCAACCTGTTTTTATTATTTCATTTTGTTTTTATTTATTTATTTATTTTTTTGCTGCATAATGTCGTCGTCCTACCTTCATCATGATGCATCAGTCAACTTTTGTCATTGATTACACTGTTATGATTCTAGAATTATTTTCCTATTACAGAGTGAACCTGTGCACGCCACAGATTCAGATTTTGAGAGTTTGGTCCTGAGAAGACTGAGACAAGCTCAAGAAAGAAAGGAGTTGATTGATAAAATTAAGGAAGAGGATGGCAGTGATATACGTTAGCATATTTTAAATTGTGGGCTACCTGTACAGTTTAAAAAGAAATTAATTATTTGTAACATTAGATTTAAAATTATTCAGTCCAGGCATATGAGCTATGTGGTTATGTAATACAGGCAACCTGCAAGCTTACACTGTATTTTAAAACATGCAAAATATAAATTGTGTTGCATGTTTTATGATTTTGTATCTTTCAGAAAGTCAATTTGTTCCTAAAAATATGTCATTTAAGTGTTAATATTGCTGTAACTATTTGTAATGTAACTAATATACAAGGAAAGATACAGTGGAATCTGAATTTATTTATTTATTTTCGATTTATGACTTTCTTTTAACATTAAATTTCTGTATTTTCAGCACCATTATCTCATTGCTCTCTCCATTTAAGTTTTTCATTGATGTTCAAACGTGTCATTGCCCAAGAAACTGAGTATATTTAACACAGATTTCACTGTTACTATAATGCAATGAAAATCTTATCTTCATGTTTTACTCTGTTTACAGCAAAGGAAGCCAACAAAAACAATATTTTGANTGTAGAAGGGATTTTTTTTATTGGCTACCATTTCCTTGCTTTAATCTTCATGGTTTACTCTGTTTACAGCAAAGGAAGCCAACAAAAACAATATTTTGAATTATATACGAGGGTTGGAACTTTAATAGTGGCAACTATTTATTTACAACGGATACAAAATAGATGCATGTTTCGAAGTTTCACTGTCCTTCAATGTAGTCACCAGCATTGTGTACAACCCGTAGGATACCTTTAACAGTGCCTGTTGTGTTGGTAGTTCGAATGGAGCGGTCTGCTGCCTGAAGAATCTATGGAACAGTTCTGAAGCGAATGCCATGAAGTGGTTCCTTCATCTTAGGAATCAAGTCGAAGTCATAAGGGCTTCAGTCCAGGGAGTACGGTGGATGGTACAGCACTTTCCAGCCCCATTGATCGAACAAATCAGCCACAGCTTGAGCTGCGTGTGGCCGAGCACTGTCCTGCAAAATGATGGATGGGTTCTGCAGAAAGGGTCGCCGCTTCTTTCTCAAAGCTGGTCATATATTGTGTTCCAAAAATGAACAGTAATACTGCGCAATGAAGTTCTGCTCTTGGGGAATGGTATGTGTTAGGATATTACTATAACAGTTGTACACAAGGATCACCATAACTTTCACATTGCTGGGGTTCTGACAAACTTTTGGTTTTCGTGGTGACCCATAATGATGCCATTCGTTTGATTGGCGGCTTGTACGATTAGGCCCATGTCTCATCTGGCGTAAGAAAGCCTCTCCTTCGCGCTCATAACGCTCCAAGTGGTCACGAGCAGCGTCGTATCATAGCCATTTCTGCATTTCCGTCAAATCATGCAGAACCCATCGTGATGCAATTTGTCTCTTGGGCCAGCTCACGAAGCGTATGGCGTAGATCACTCTTCAGTTACACGGAAAGAGCATACACTTCTTCTTCACTGACACTAGGACAACTTGGCCAACGCATGTCTGCCACATTTTGGCGTCCCTCATTGAAGGCTCTTACCCACCTTGCTGCTGTTCTGTTAGGCAATGCAGATTCCCCGCAAGCCTCTTGAAGACCTTGATGACACTGTCGTGCTGTACGGCCTCTGGCACATTAAATCTTTATCCAACTCCGTTGTTACTGTTTCGAAAACATCGTGACAACACTACATTAGACAACCAGCTAACACGAGGTTCTGTTCTTCTCGTCACTGGGAATGCGTGTGATGTGGAAAGGGAGAGTTCATTTGCTCTGAGGTAAGGTAGGTATGTAACTAACGTGTCGTATAAGCGACATTATTTGATTCAGTTGCATGGCGTTTCTACAGCAGTGTTGCCACTATTAAAGTTCCAACCCTTGTAGAAAAGTTACTTTCAGGGTTTGTAAATTGCTTGGCACCTGGTTGAGTAAATATTTTATGATAAAGAGCCAAGTCATCTCAAAACATTTTCAGCATGTTCTGTTAGTTTTGTTTTACTAGAATCCTAAGAAAGTTTCTTAGCTCTGATTTCTAATAATGTGCCTTGCAGATATGCACGAGTTCAGCAGACCCCAGCATGCCTAGCATTTACTAGAATCGTAAGAAAGTTTCTTAGCTCTGATTTCTAATAATGTGCTTTGCAGATGTGCATGAATTAAGCAGACCCCAGCATGCCTGGCATTTACTAGAATCCTAAGAAAGTCTCTTATCTCTGATTTCTAATAATGTACTTTGCAGATATGCACGAGTTCAGCAGACCCCAGCATGCCTAGCATTTACTAGAATCTACCCCCCATCATTGTAGAAACAGGACATTTAAATCCTCTGTTTCTGGACGATAAAAGTTAAAACATATTCTCTATATATATTTCACTTAATTTTTTGCCATATTATAAAAATATTGTGGCCCATAAATATCAAGACTTCTCAAGATGCAGAAGCATGTACAGATTTATATAGAAAATGCACTGTATTTGAATTTATATAATTAAAATACCATTGTTTTTATTCTGGTATCCTTATTATAATACAAAGTGTAAATCCATCAGACTTGGATATTATTCCAGTGTATAAGTATACATACTACATAAAACAAAGCAGACATTTGGAAAAATAGTACTGGTATATATATGTTAAATTTTAAAATATAATAGAAAATTGCATATTGCAGGAAAGGGAGCTGGGATAGTGCAGTCGGTATAGCAAATGGCTACAGGCTGGACAGCTGAGGGGCTGGAGCTTGAGTCCCAGTAAGAGCAAGGTTTTCTCCTCTCCATGTTGTCCAGACCAGTTCTTGGGCCCATCCAGCCTCCTATCCAATGGGTACCAGGGGCTCTTTCCCCGGGGGTAAAGGGGCCAGTGGCTGGGATGCAAAGCTTACCACTCACCTCCATCTAGTGCCAAGGTCAAGAATGGAGCTATGCCACCACTCTTCCATATGTCCCCATGGCATAATGCTTAATTAATTAAGTACAGGGACAATTTTATCTCCTCTCTCTCTCTCTCTCTCTCCCTCCCTCCCTCCACCTCCCCCCTCACACACACACACACACAAACTGCAGAAAATGTTCTCCCGAAGGTAAAGGTGTTCACGAGTCAACTACCATCAATACATTTGCAACCCACAAGACTGCAGGAATTGACTTTGGAGATTCTCTTTTCATTACAGAAGGCTGCATACATTGCAAAATTAGAATGAAAAGCTAAGTAGCAGCGTTCATTTAATTTGCAATAGGAGCAATTCATTCCATTCAGTAGAGACATTTGCCTTTGCTTTAAGGCATTTCACATCATGAGGAGAAAAGTGTTTGAATATCTACAATGAGAATGGTACCAACTATGTCTGAGCAATAGTCAACAGAAGGAGCTACATCAGTTTGTTTCTTGTGAAAAACGTGCAGAATTTTGGAAGATATGGGAAGCAAGGATCAAGCCAATGAAACATAATTTGGTCCACACTGCAGGCAAATTATCTCTCACTTATGGGGAAATATGCACATTGCTCTGTCACACTGAGGCTTGTCTCAACTCTAGTCCTATCAAAGTGTTGTCCAGTGATCTACAAGGTATCTCATATTTCAGTCCAGGTATTTTCTGATTGATGAATGTCTTACCTATCTTCCTGATCCGGATCTATCCTCATTGCCAGTCAGCAGTTTGTCCAGATGGAAGCATATGCAACAACATTTCTGTAGACCTTTGTCTGCCAACCATTGAAGTAATCTGTAACAATGCAGTAAGTGGACATCAGCAAAATCCAGTCTACAGGTAAATAAAATTATCAGGGGTGAAAATCCTCGAGTTGGAAAATAAGAACCATTCATAAAGGGTTCCTCGGTAATGATAGATTGGTGCAAGTGGCTACAGATGGCACCCTACATGAAACACTTAAGCATCCAATACAAAAACTATGTATGCTGCCCAGTCAAGATTGAGGTGTTTGTATATTATATAGCATTTATGATCTACTAAGATATTATCTTGAACATGGACAATTTCTCTCATGTGCTTCTGTTAACATTTAAAGTTGTAAATATGATAAACTTGTGTGTGCAGTATGTTGGGACTAATACATTTCCACTGTTGTGTTTAGCTGTCAAGTCACAGTTATTAGAGGTTTCATTTTGGGTGGGGGCATATGCAACAGGAAACGTGATGAGAAGATGAGACACGTATAAATAGGACTCTTACAGCAGTAGTTCAGGGATCTGTCACTTTCAGTAAGAAAACTCAATATTAACAGTAAATGAACCAGATTTTATACACTGGGGATTAATTTCTTTAGAGTTCTGGACAATGGACATGGTCCAAAAACCCAGGAATCCCGACTGTTGTGTACCATCATCAGAACTCTTTAGAATTCACCAGCATTCTAGGCTGTCAAATTTAGTGGGAATATTTGCATGATTAACTTCTAAGAGAGGTATTATAACTTGGCAGATACATAGACATGTATACTGAAAGTTAAATGTGGTGGAAAATGTATATAAAATTTATTCCTGTTAGTTATTAGCTGTCTCACATGCAATATGATGTTTAAAACCTTTAAAAGTTTTAAACGTTAAAATCTCTTCTACATCATTGGTGAAGAATTCTAAAGTTTATGACAACTGTTTTGTGTGATCGTCATTTTTGCAATGGCTGATTTTTGTGAACAGCGTGCGGCGGTGAAATTTTGCTTTTTTCTCGGGGAAAGTGGAACAGAAACTCTTGAAATGTTAAAAACGGCGTACAAGGACGATGCTATGGGGAAAACTCAAGTGTTTGAGTGGTTTTCCCATTTCAAAAATGGTGAAATGTCAATTGATGACAAACCTCGTTCTGGTCGTCCTTCCACGGCCCGAACACATGAAAATGTTGAAAAAATTCGTGAAATCATCAAGGAAGATCGACGACGGACCATTGAAGAAATTGTGGAGCTGTCGGGAGTGACTTGGAGCTCAGTTCAGTGAATTTTGACAGAAGATTTGGGAATGAAAAGGGTGGCTGCGAAATTCGTGCCACGACTGCTGACTGCTGAACAAAAACAAGGTCGCGTGGAAGCATGCTGTGCTTTGAAAGAAGAGTTCCGAAATGATCAAAACTTTTTTTGGTTTCCTCGAATGAAAAGAGACATGAAAGGAAAGCGTTTTGCTGATGTTGCTGAGGTGAAGGAAAAAACGACGGAGGCGCTGTCAAGCATGTCAAAAGATGAATTTAGACAATGTTTTGAAAAATGGAATAAAAGACTAGACAAGTGTATTAGTGTAAGTGGAGAGTACTTTGAAGGTTTTTCCTTAAAATTTGAATAAATAAGTTTAAAAAAAAAAGTTTGGTTTCTTTTGGGTACCCCCTCATGTATATATATAAAGGGTAAAGGTAAAGCTATCCCTGTAACAGGCCTTGGAGGCCCATAGGGTTGTGAGATGTTGAGGTTCCCACATTTTCTACACAATCAGCTCATAGATGGCGGAAAAGGTTGTCAGCCCTACATGCCGGCCGCCCTTTACCCCCAAGAATATTCCTGGTACTCATTTCTGTTAGAGGCTGAGTTGACCCCATGGCCATAGTGCAGCTGGAAGGATTAGGTAAATTGAAAAAAATCCAGTGACCTCATCGGGATTCGATCCCATGACCTTCCTGCTTGTAGCATAGTGCCTCAACCAACTACACTACCATGTGCCCCATACTGTTAATAGTATGAATTAAAAACTTGGCTATTATGATTGAGGTTTCTCATTGCTTTCCTTAGTCTCTCCAGCCAAATGTCAGAAGAGTGTTTTAAGTTAGGCTACAATTACTTCCTTCCACATCCTTTTCAATTCACTAATCACACTTGCCATGACCAATCGCTATGTAAAATGCTTAACAGGATGAGACAGCTGTTCATACCAAGTTCCTTGCTATAACCTTGGAGCCTGATGATGGTTGATGAAATTTGCATTCTTGTGGGAGCTTATGTGATAATGGACATGCTGGTTCTTGCTACATTGCTTTGAAAACAGCCATGCCAAGCTAAATTATTCAACGAATTTGATTTGTTTTATTCTGGTCTGTCACACTAATAATATCATGAAAAGTTAAACAGTTCAGTCTAGTGTGACTGGTGAAGATTTTTCTTATTTCAGTCATTTATGCCCTTACATGTTTCGGTCTTCAGAGACCAACATCAGAGTGACACCTTTACATCAATACAGTTGGAAGCCACTATTACAATACATGTTCTAAAAGTTAAAATGTATACATACAATATTAGTAATATATACTTGGGTATAAAATCTAATGTCAGCTATAAGGTTTGTTCCAATATATTAAAATAATTATAATTGGTTTGTTAAGACACTACTGGAATTCATAAACCAAGAACGTTCGTGTCATTCCTCTTATTATTTCTTATGACGAGGGCCGAATGTGTGCTGCCTTATCGTTCTCAAGAAGAGGGTTCTTTAATGTTGTCCTGTATGTGTTTGTAGCATGCTGTGTTGTAATCTTCAACGAAACTGTTTAACTTTTCATAAATTATTCAATTATTGTATATCACATCAAGCAATTGTAGGTATTACAGGACTTGCATGCAAAATCCGTTTAAAATATTAGAAGTTGGTATCATTTCAGTACATGGCATGAGCTTTTTAAGAATTTACACCTCCATCCTAAGGTCACAAACTACTTTAAATCTGCTGGCACGGATAGGTTAAATAAAAGGAACACGTATTTACATGCAAGAATGTACACGACTTATTCGCGTTTGCTTTTAGTAGTACTGTGTCTAAAACATTCTTACGTATTCCTACATGCATCGTAACATCCTACATATTAGGACCATGATTCATGGGATGCATTTAATGCTTATATTTACCTTCATGAACGAAGTACACATTCGTAGTATTCGTTCCTATTGTTTCCAGCAATGTGCTATGTTGCTTCATGTATACAAACACGAACAGACACTGCACAAAAACAGTACATATCACCCACCCTCAAATGTTCATATCTGACAGCAGAGTCGCCTGGCCAAAGAAACTTACTTTAGCCAATCAAACCACTCCACTTGAATATCTTACCCAAGGCCTACAGCGCCTACAGTACGATACAAAATCCCATAACCTTTGCATGAAACATCGCGACCAATTGCAACCAAGGCAAACCTGCAAAGCTAAGAACGCTTTGCCAGAAACCAAAACTTTATCACAAAAATCCATGGAAATTACTACTCAATTACTACAGCGGCAAACTTACGGTATCTAACTTGTGCGTAGGGGAAAGTGAAAAATATTGTTCAAGTTTTTAGAATTTCGGAAATTTCAATAAATTATGAGTATTTCTTAAATAAAAATTAAATTGTCGAACATTTAAATATGTCATATACTTTTAAAGAGTTTCAAAATATATTTGTCGAAAAACATAATTCTTTAAAATTTGTCGAGAATTCAGATAACGTTTCCGAAATTCACCTAAATCCTGAAATGTCGCGAAATCGAAAACTTGTAAAATTTAAACTTTTCCTTTTTTTCACACTTCGAAAATATTTTAATATCTGAGAAGAAATTTCGTCTGTACTAATGATTTGTAAACTCTTCAAATTTCAAGGCGAAATTTCATGTTGTGATGGATACCAGCTGATGTGATGCGTTAATATCACCGAAATTAACGCGGCCTAACACAGATGAGTCAGTAGCGGTCAGTAGAAATAAGTGTATGATCAAACCACACCTATCATGTCTATCATTGCTCAATTTCAATAAGCGTTACTCCAAAGAAGGGAGGTGCAGACGGGTATGCAGAGTTATAACCTAACTTAATCTCACCAAGTAGTAGGGGACGTGTAGTGGTGTCCTGCCCGATTTTCGGCGTTACGGTTGTTTCGCACCTCGCGGGATCGCGCGATCGTGTTCTTATTAGTAGCTGTAATAACTTGAAATTGTGTCTTTCAACAGTAACATGTCATTGGCTGCTGTATTCTTGGATATTGAAAAAGCTTTTGATACAATACATCAAATTGGCTTGCCATATAAATTACTGGTATTAAAATTTTCGATCACTCTAATCAAGCCCATTACCGCTTTACTTTCTCAGAGTTTCAGTCAAAGGTGAAATGTCTGCACCATGGAATATACAAGATGGGGTGCCACAAGGTTCCATCCTGCTCCCCTACCCCTCAATGTAGTCTACATATAAATCATATGCCCGAAACACCTGGTCTTATCGAGATCTCTTTGCTGATATCCGTATATATGCAACAGACCACAAAGAGGGTTATGTTCTCAGTGCTATTGAGATCCAGTATGAGCACTGGAACATAAAAATCAAGATAAAACTCAGGCACCCTGGGACTCATCTTACTTTAAATGGAATATCCCCTTCCTCAGTCATGTAAGATATCTTGGTGTAATCTTCGATAAGAGGATTACATCGAGACTGCATATAGAAATGACTGAAGCCAAAGTCTTCAGAACATTTGATTGAATCTACTCCCTGTTCAGAAGTGAGCATTTAAGTACCAACATTATAATAACCCTCCATAAGGGACTGATCAAATCAGTAACGACTTACACTTCTCCCACCTGGGAATTACTGGTAGATACCTACCTCTTAAAATTGCAGCACCTGCAAAACAAGGTCTCATGAGAGAGGATGTTACTTAAGGACTATGACTGCAATGGTTCAGCTGAAAAAAATCTCTAGTCATCAGTGTCAAGGTGCTTGATGTCAAGGCAGTAAACTGCCAGTCATAAAGGAACTTTGACTTCAAGCTGAGTCATGTTCGAATACCTCCACAATATCCCTGCGAGTTGGAGGAGACAAAAATGGAACCACCCACTTCTGGGGGGGGGGGAGCAATATTACTGGGCCCCTCTGTTCCTGGCCAATATAAATACAGGGACTTGGCCCTCCAGGTTGAGGGAGTGTCAAATCAGGGACATCGAAATATGGTCATGGGTCCTGCAGTACTTGGACCCAACAATGACTCCACTGGCGAGGGCCAACAGCAATTGTAAATGACAGCACCCCACATCAAGAAACCCGCTACTGTCTGATGGTAACAAAAATCAGGTCCTGGGCCCCAGATGGGGGCTTGACACCAAGATAAATTGGCCAACTGACAGTCAGAAGTAACATAACTTTGACTTTGAGCTGAGTCAGTCAAGAATAGAGTAGAGTTCGAGCTTGGAGGTTGTCACCCATGGTGGAGGTAGAGAATCCCTCAGTATTGTTAAGTTGTCACACAGCCACCCAGCAGCCCATACCAAGGCTGAGAAACATACAGAATAGATTTCTAAACACACCCATATATTGTCACATGTATGACTATAGACGAGGTTTGGATTGGTAAGTGGATTTATTGGATACTTACAGATGGCAATTACAAGTAATTATAACACTATTGCTAATTCACACTCTGCTGTTCAAGACAGCACATAGTAAGTCTTCTCAGTCTGCTGTAACTTCACCAGCCATTGCATGATAACAGCTTCCAACGGAAGATGTTCTCCTTATTCCGGGTTCCAATCTATCCCCATTCCTCAGCTACCAGCTTCTAACAGCCTCAGCTCATGAAAACTGAACTGTAGTTCTTGAACTCTTCAACCAACTTTTCACTCTGCTGTACTCAATTGCACTGCACTAACTCCCAGGCTTATGGCCATGTCAGACCAACCTCCATCTCTTCTGATTTGACTCCAACTCAACTCTAGACCTGTCCTGCCTATAACATTTCCACATGGACTGCGGAGAAAACACCACTATTCATTTTTCTAGTTCACTTGTTGTGGGAACATGTCTTGTTTACCTACAGTATCATGAACTCTGTATGCTGACCAATCACCTCCTCACACCAAAAAGAATGTAAGTAATCACAGAACACAACCACATCATTTATATTATTTCACTCTCACTCACTCACGGAGCTGAGCCCTTCTTGAGAAGCCATCGATTGTGCAGCTACTCAAGAACTTCCCAGCATTTTATGGAACCCAAAGGTTCATTACCGTGTTCATAGGAACCCTCCACTGGTCCCTATCCTGAGCCAGATCAAGCAATCTATGCCATCCCTTCCTCTCTCTCTCTAAGATCCATTTTAATATAGTTCCCCCACCTACATCTTGGTCTTCCTAGTGGTCTCCTTCCTTCTGGCTTTCCCACCAATATCGTATACGCATTCCTCCTCGCCCCATTTGGCTACATGCCCTGTCAATCTCATCCTCCTTGACATGATCATTCTAATTATATTTGATGAAGAGTACAAGTTATGAAGCTCCTCATTATGCAGTTCTCTCCAACCTCCTATCACTTCATCTTTCTTCAGTTCAAATATTCTCCTCAACAGCCCGTTCTCAAACACCCTCAGTCTATGTTCCCCCCCCCCCC